CCCTGCAAGAGCAAGTGAATGCATGCGATGATAAGAAATTATTTCAAGAAGCAGGGCTGGCCGCGAACACTTTTAGATCCACACTCGCGTAACTCTATGAAACCTTGGTGTAAGAAAATACGGCCACTTCAAGGAGTTAGCATCTCTTCCGGTTGACAGCGCAGCACACGTAATGATACGCCGCACTTAGTGATAGCTGTACGCTGATGCTAGCCGAGCTAGCATCGTACACGTGGCAGTGATGGCGACTTCGCCTTTCGAATCAAAGATTTCAGCTGGTCTAGTGACTCCCCTCTCCTGTAGTTTGTTCGTGCACCTTCAAGATGAGTGAGCCCTTTGTTGTCTGCTTGAGTACCGATCGACGGTGAGCTTCGAACTATGAATGACGTTCGCGCATTTGCTCTTCATGCGACAGAGATGGGCTGGTAACATTACTTCTCTGCTGTGGAACGCGGAGTGCTTACGGCACACGCGACTGCATAGACTGGACACGTCTCATCGACTCCGGCCTCCGTCTGGACTCCTTCGACTCGAGACAACAGTGCTTTGCTGACTATGGCTTGGTGCCGCCTTCACCAAAGTTTTCGCCTTCTGAATCGGCATGGAAGACAGTGCTGCTTGCGGTCATTGCGGCAGCGATGAAACTATAGAGCACGTTCTCTGTCTCTGCCCTCGTTACAGCGTGCAAAGACGACAACTAGCTGCTGCGTTAGCTCGCCTTGACGACAGATCTTTGTCTGAACAATGAGTGCTTGAAAGGCGACATGATTTGTGTGCTCACAGAAAATCAGTGAAGGCCTTACTGAACTTTTTGCGTGGCAGTGGCCTATTGTATAGAACTATAGCACCCCAGCTCCCCCCCCCCTTTTTATTGCGCGCGTCTGTTTCCTCTTTGCTTTCTTTCCCATCTTTCTTCCCCATTCTTCCTTCCCCTAGTGCAGGGTAGCAAACCGGATGCTCCATTTTCTGGTTAACCTCCCTGCCTTTCCCTCATTTTATTCTCTCTCTCTTTAGCAACCTTCATCGCCCCTGCTCACGTGCTTTTACCCACGGGTATAGAACACTCGATGCGTCGATGATGTTATCGATACAAACTTAATAGAGAACATGACTGTGACACTAATGGCAAAATCTCGTCAAGAGTGTCAGTATAACTGCTATCGCCCCAGAAAATCAAGATTGCCGGAAAGATCAAATCGGAAGAAAAAGTGGTGCAGTGAAAGTGGTTTCTCGGAAAAGAATAGACGAGTCTGCAGCGTGTGCTCCCTCGGGAGACCAAAGTGGGGGGCCAAAGAATGCGGCAATCTCACTTCTGCTCGCTTCGCTGCTTTCCCGTGTCAGGATTTTTATGTTTCTTTTTTCGGCGCCTGCTCATACACGAGGCAAGGTATTGTTGTTGCTGGTATACGTATGAGTATACTGCGATGGTTCGTGATACGGAAATGGGAAAACGGAAGAGGTTGAGTGGGGCGCGTAATCGGAATACCCGGAGGATTGTTCGTCTGAAGCTGTAGCAACAGTCCATGGGGAAGCGCTGCGCGCGTTACAGCTGTCATGGTAGCCAACTGATTTAGTAGCCACATTACCGAGGATGTTCTTCGACTTGAGGCATCGCCTACCACAGCACCCGCTTGTTCATTCACAACTTAGTGTTCATGCCGAGGTTAGGTAATTTGCTGATGCCAGTGTTTCAATTTTTAAATGTGCAACAGGCCATATAAAACAGAAAAAAAAGTCAGACGTATTCATATCATAGGTCATCTGATTTTTTTGAGGAATTGAGATTCTTAATTTACTGTAGTTTGTTTCCTCCGTTCTTGCGCGATCAATAACGAGGCTGCCTTGTCTGATGAGCACTGATCGCATGTGAGAAGGCGATTCAGAAATGGTTTTCATTGTGCCTATTTTACCTATGACACGTTAGTGTGGAAATATGCTAAATATAACAGGGGCTGAAGGCTAAAAAAGTGCGAATACCGTACAACTGAACATGTGTGGCCGAATGATCACGCACCGTGACCTAGATGAATTGTGTCTAGTTTTTTTTGACATCATCAGTTTCATGTTTACATCATCAGTGCTTATCTTCATAAGTGTGTTTTTGAGATCACTGTAATGAAGTCACAGTTATTAACCATGACAGGCTGGTTAATCTACACATAATATGTAGAAGAGCGTGCAGTAGAGGTGAATTTTGAGGCCGTGTACAGACGGAGGGCTGGACTAAATGTGATGACGCGCGCTCTTGCGAAACAAAAAATAAAACAACAATACGGTTATCAGAATACTCACTGAAAAAGAGGACAGAGTTTCATGAAGACATCACATTTTTTTTAGTGTGAGACATGACAACATGAAGTCTTTTACAAACTTGCTACGGATGAAAACACTCAGTCAGACAGGCATGAGATAACAATTCTAACAATGACACTCTATTACATGCGGTGACAAACAAGCGCACACATGGGACAAAGGAGTGTGCAAATTTCTCCCAATGGGCAATATTGAAAATAGGTCTACGAAACGTAGATTAAGTTATTCGACGTTAAGAAAAACTTTGACTTATCTTTAGACCACAGCTATACATGAAAACTCCCACAGCTCGATGACATCACTTATCGTGGACTATATGAACACATCAATTCGGATCATTGCACTTCAGTGGGCAATAATATCGATGAACGCCGAGAACATGCTAGCATTTACAGGATTATTCACACAGTGAGACAGCTTCCTGGAAAAAGATCTACCTTTGCCAGGCTCTGGTGAAGTAAGGCGACGCAAATAACGGCTCCTGCAAGGTCATCGGGCCTTTAGGACTTCGTTATGCAGCTATAGTGGAAGGAAGGCAACATATTCAGCGTTTGAAACGTTTTGGATACGATTAACACCTATGGTACGCCATCAACACCCACTTTTGGTTACTGCCCCGTAAGCTGTGCGAAAGCCACTTAAAGCTCACCTGTATTCTTGGACAGCATTTTTACTTTCTACATAAGCCACGTGCACATAATTACGCTGATAAAGTAACGCGGGTCACAATTTTCTCGCAGTCACACGAGAAATGTCATTCGCATTGTCTCCGGTGCAGATAGACTAAGAGACAGTGCACTTTATTACGATCCTTAGGAGCAACTGACCAAAAATTAGTGGCATATGGGGCAGGGGGGGGGGGGGCTATTAGTCCATTCGTATCACACCTATGCCCTTGAGCAATCGTTCACTTCTCCTTGTGGTGACGGCGATTTTATACACCTTCTTTCGTCATACGTACTCAGCCCTTTGCGTTGCTTCGAGCTTTACCACGATTTAACAGCTGTTGTTGCACGCTATCACACAACTGTATGCTGCCGCTGGAAAACAGACTGCGTATGCGCTACTGCCACTGCTGTGATGGCGGATAGATAGCGTTGAGCGTTACGAACAGCATTCAGCGGGTGTGGCACTGCTGTCCTATGAAGAAGGCCGAAGGAACTCGGGAACAGATGAACTCGCAACATTTTGATGTGCTTCTGCTTCTGTGCCGCCCTGTTTTCACTGACCTGAAAATAATGCAAACACACCAAGAAATAGTCTATTGCGAATTTGTAAAGGTTACGAAAATATGCGTAAAATAAATGTTATTCTACGTAGATCCTTCACGAGGCAACAACTCGGTGGCAAAAGGAGCAATGCGACGACAGAACAGGCAAAGGCAACAGGAACACGGTGTTTGTGTTGTCTTGATCGCTTCTCTTGTGTTCGTGTGTACATGCTTCCATTTCGGTTATCGTAAATGCTCATCAACCAGTTCAACTCTCTGTTGTTCTCAGCACAATGAAAAAGAACAACTACCAATTTACACTAGCAGACACTCAGCAGCTAAGGACGTTCGTCTGCATTGCGTCCTGTAAAGCAGGACATACACAGATTTTGCACACTCGTTGTAGGTCACACAAACAAGATCAATGTATACGCGCGCTGCAATCTGGTGATGACGTCAGACTTTTTGCGCGAAATCTTCTTGTGTCCTGCCACTGCTGCATTCGGACTTCGCTCAATTCGTAAGCCTCCGTGATTGACGACGCACATGACGATCCAGTCAGAGCAACAAGGCGTGAGCAAATCTGTCGCACTTTGAGAGAGTTACGTTGCAATGGCTCCCCCACCAGCAACACTGACAGTCGGAAATATAGGCACGTTGTTGCATAGTTTTGTGACACTGCTCAAAGAATTGGTACGTTTCACAACAGCAAACTACAGAAGTACTGACAAGAAGGCGGAAGATAAATAGGTTTGGCACAGCCGGCACAATTGGTAATCAAGGTTCTTGTTTTTTAATGTCTTTTTGAAATGGTGTAAAGACCAAAATACGTGACAAAAATTATAGTCGTCATTCACTTTTGTTCGTGTTAATTTTAAAATTCCACAAAAACAGTTAAGAAGTTTTCGTGTATAGAAAATTTGTGTGCGAAACTCCTGTGCAAGGTTTATCTGTTTTGCACGCAAAAAAAAAACAAGATTGAATAGGAGTACTTCTGCAATCATCTATGAAAGCAGGAGCAATCTGATTAACGTAGCCCCGCCGAAGTGGTCTAGTAATTAAGGTACCCGGCTGCTGAATCCGGGCTGCGGGGGCTACATTTTCGATGGAGGCGATAATGCTGTAGGCACAAGGGCTCAGATATGGGTGCACCTTGGAGAATTCCAGGTGGTCGAAATTTACAGAGCCCTTCACTACAGCGTCTTTCAAAATCATATGCTGGCTTTGGGACGTGAAACCCGATATATCAATCAATCAATTTCATTAACGCATAAACATTGCAAATAAACATGATGTGGTGAAGCCATAATCACTCCATGAAAATCCCTGTGTGACACTATGGACATTCAAGGAGGGTAAATACTGCATTAAGCCTCGTCAATTTGAAAGAGTTGCGCGGTGTATAATGAAATGAAAAGCCCGTTCAATAGTTGTCAGCCCTCCTATTACAAATATAAAATGTCACAATTTTGGGGGGTATCTCAGCACTGTGAAAGAGGACGTAATGTTTGAAGCACAGTTGATAAAATAAATACACCTATACGCTTGAATTACTAATTATTAGTCCGAGAACATCTGCATGCTCACTGGCAAAGTTTTCGGAATCTACAAAGCGCGACACCGTGAATCCAGTTCAAGAGGCACCGCCCGAAAGCGTCAATGTCCATATGCCGAAAAGCTGCACGGTAACCGCACTCCGGCTTGAAGTATCCGCCCTATACACAGTCGTGGAAAGGCGTGAGTGGCCTGGTGATTCGTCGCCTCAACTTGGCCATGTTGTCTGTAATGAGCTTGTTCTCTGGGTCTAATGAGTGGGCAACTTGATAGTGTCGAAAGGCACCTTGGTAGTCACTCTGTGAGGACAATGGTTAACATAAAATGTTAGCCAGTAGATCGCACATGAAATTTTTTGCGTCGGATAATCAGTTGTTTATGCACAAGTGCAGCTCTTGTAAGAGAAAATGCAAGGAATAAGCAAACAAGTATTGTGTGTTTTGGCGAAGAAAATGAATATTGAAGCATGATAAAACAAATTTTAGAAATGTTTACCGAATATCGCAACTTCAATGCTCACCTCCAAGTGTCTGATCACAGCGAGATTCAGATGAGCGTGAGCAAGACCAGAATCCAGACGAATGGCCACTTCGTAACTCTGAAACAGAAAACAAAATGGCCTTTTCTGTTTTTTATGTATGTTATTATATGAAGAACACGTAGGGGGCATAATAACGACATAATTTAAGTGGCCATCTCTAGATGCATGCCTGACGACTGTCTCTTAGGAAAACAATTCATAAGAAATCCACAATTCTGTGGCACTCATCTTTTATTTTCCCTGAAACATTTGCACAGAAAATTTTCAGCTTTAATTCTGCCCTTGACGACACAGCACATATAGATAATAAACGAACAACAATATTGAGTGAACGATCAAAGACGTAACCTTATAGAATGTTTGTTCATGGATAAAATATTTTTGTATTCATAAAAACCAAAAATGTATGAGTAGTATTATAGCTTTTTACAGCGATATTGCATTATGTTACTGTTTGATTTGGGTTGAAACGTTTTCACACTACTATCTTTAAAATGTTTATTAGCTCCGAGTGAAAATGTAGCCAGATTTAAAAAAAACTCCGTTTTTGTGAAACAGCTGCTTCTTGACCTAAAATTATACTTTTACAATATTTTTGCTAATTTTGTTACTTTGTATGCACACCTTTCTGCCCACGCGAAAGTATCTCCAAATTACCGCATAACTATCAACTTTGGCTGAACTTACTGAAACGAAATCTCAGACATTATAAAAACCTAAAGCTTTCGCAACAGAATTAATCAGTTCAAGCTAGTTCGAGTTAGAAACATATGCTAATTCAGTAAAAAATACCTCATTCAAAGAACCAACCTTTGCCGACGAGCTGAGGTCGCCCAAGTCCTTCAGTATGTCACCGTGATCGCTGTGTATTTTCGCACAACGCAGGTCATCAACATCGCATAGCTTTAGAGCCTTTAAAATGTAGTCCAGTGCCTGAAATATTAGAGAGAAATATAAACAACCTGATGACTAATCCACTGATCATAAACGTCAGTGCGAGAAAGCATAGCAGTTCGGACAGTCACTAATTGTATTCAGGACAGCGTGGGCAACTTAATTTGCTGTATACAATTGGCACATTGTTTATTTAGGTAAAATAAAGATGTATAAGACAAGTTCTTTTAAAATCAAACAAATTGTTTACGTATTTTTCAGGCGTAAATTTCCATTCAGGGCGCTTTTTACGGTCTCTTCAACAGTACCGTAGTTATAGAGCACCCTGTGTGGAATTGGCAATGTAATTTAACGACCAATAAGTGCCTTCTACAAATAATTGGTAAGCAGATCTGAGAAAAGTACTGAATCACATCTCGATTCGATGTCTAGATACGAAACTTGGCCACTCCACACCCCAGCCCACAATTTGGCTACTTGCTAGGCATTTAAATTATCTTGAGATGTTAATCACCACTTACTGCTTGCTGCCTGAAGATATTTGACAATAAAAACAAAATCGCATGCTTGCTCGCCATTTTCTTTACAGTGATGTAGTGCAAGAAATGGAACCATTATTTCTCGCAGAAAAATCAAGTTACCTGAGTTATAGGGATAACGGGAAACATTATTACAGGGAGTGCAGATTTACCCGCGCTATTACATTCGGTGAAATAATATAACGGACGAAGGCCAGTGATATGTTTCTGTGGAAAATGCTGAGGGAGAAATAAAGAGCGATGATTTTAAGTACGCGCACGCAAGGAAAACATTGACAAGCAAGTGATATTCCGCGCAGAAACAAATGCTTGGTTCGCACACAAACAAAACAAATTGGTTGTCCAATTTGGTATAAGGTAACAAGTACCTCGACTGTGCGGTTGATGTGGTTGTATAAAAGGGCAGCCGTGTGCAACGCTCCTCTGTCGGTGCTGTTGTGTTCAATCACATCCAGTAGGAGGTCTTCAGCTGCTCGAAAGCTTCTGAGCTGAATCAGGAGCTGAGCCTGAAAATAAAGTTAAAGTAATACACCATAAGAACGGCTATTTGGGCTAGTTGGTTGGAATTCATGGTAATAAGGGCTGCAGCGCGAGCACGAAGGTGCCTTGCCTTCACCTTTCGTTTCCCGTTTCTTCTAGCACCTTCGTGCTCGCGCTGCAGCCCTTATTACCATGAATACACCATAGGCTGCTTTCCACAGCACGCTAAATCGGTACAGTACTCATTTATAGCCTTTACATAGTGAAGCACGAATACAAACACGTTCGCTCATAGAAATGCAGATATTTAACACGTATGAATGCAGCAGTGCCTAAACAGCTACTGCAGCAACGAACATCAGCACGCCTTTCACCTCTCGTAACATATAATTCAAAATTACTTTAACGTCAACCTCACACAGTCACAAATATACCCCTTCTTTTATTGCACACACTCTCGAGAATGTATTCTATATTTTGAAGAATTCATTATTCTTTTTTCTCAACCATGCACCTTGAGAGGATTTAAGTTGATTTAAATGCATGCACACGCGTCCGGTACTCTTGTACCACCTTGGCTGGTATTACGTCACTGCCTTTCTAAACTAAATTTTTGCATGAAAGTCGCGCTACAAACACAAATGCTTTCAGCCGTTCGCGTGTGTCGCAGACATCAACAGAGAAAGTTGGGTCAGTTTATTGGAAATACGTTTACAATTCTGGCGGCTCTTTTGTGTTTAAGAGGCAATGAACTATAGCCTGTACTTAAAACTGTGCTTATTATTTATTACAGCCATCTCGCCTGACAGTAAATAGCAAAAGGAAAGACAAAAGCACTTATGTAAGTAAGTTAGTAGTAAGAATAGAACGGAAATGGTCTGCCATTTCCAGTCTTACGTTTCGCTCATGTGAAAAGAAGCAGTGCGCGTTGCCTAACGATGCCACATACTAGGTGCTACGAATACTTAATTGGTAGAATTGAAGTTCCGCTTGGCTTCCGTGACTCACATGGTGAACCTTGCTTTCACGGTGCTCCGGGAAACGCCTGTGAATATCCTCAAACAGCTCTCTTGCTTCGGCCAGGCGGCCAGCGTTGACGTAGAACACAGCCAGGTTGTCCATCACCTGTGGATCCGGCTCAACAGCGAGGGCCCTGTCCGTTAAAGAAGAACAAATGTTATCAAAGAAACTGAAACTGCGAAAATTCGACCAGTATGCCAGATTCACGTATAGCGTGCATGGTGCTGGCTTAACGGCAACGTACGTTTAGTGAGGCTTCTTCTGATGATATCATCAGTTTTTTTTCAAAGCGACAGTCCCACATTTGCTCTACACCATCATTTGTATATACGAGTGAAAAACAACTCTGGAACGCTGGTCAAAAGTTATTTTGTAGGAAGCCAAGCTATTGAAACATGGTTGGAAAACTCACTCCCTGATATTCGTAATGCCATGCGATGGTAGATGTCACTCGGTGGCTCATGAATTCATTCAAATTGACAGTGTGAATAATAAGGCAACATCAGTGTTATCTACTAAATACATCTGAAGCACTAATTGTAACACTAGTGCTATCTGAAAGGCTAGAACGCACTAGGGGGCATCGATGCGCAGTTCCTACAAAGACACGTCAAGGAAAGTATTACGTAAAACACGAGTAATACATTACATTATGTTAACTACGAGGAAGCATATTGTAAGAAATCCATCACTGGAACACGAACACTCAGTGACGGTATCTTGTTCAGATTTTCCCCCTAACAGCATGGATCAGCTAGTGGTCTTCAATAACATCGGTCTATGCTGAGAATATTTGGCTTGCGACGTTTTAAACATACGCTCACCTTTTTAAATGCCCTACCGCGGCTTGGCCCGCTGAATCTAAAACGTTAGAAACTCTTGATTTGAGGCAATGGGCGTAGTTCTGATGGTTCAGGGGCATCAGTAATACGTGTATGTTGCAAATGAACCTGCCTGGAAATTTAATCAATTGATCCTCTTTTTAGGTCAGCTGTTATGACATGTGGGCAGTAAATTGTCAAAACAACCGGGAAGTTGATAGGTTAACGTAGTTCTATGCATCAAGGTCGGCTGTTGGTATACTGTCTGACCTCTTGTAGAGACTCTCGGCCTGCATGTTGAGGTTCATGCTGTGAAGGCTTCTAGCTGCGTTCAATAGTGCCACGGTGTGGTTTTGCTGGATGTCGAGAGCTTGCTCATACTGTGCCATGGCCTCTTCAGCACGGCCTGCACAAAAGAGCACATCCATGATTACTTGAATAAAAACATCAAAAGGCAGAATATTGCAACAAGTAATTCTAATTATATTCAGAGATGACAAATTATAGAACCAGGGTGTCATTTGTGCGAAGCGGCAGGTATATACTTCAGTACCAGCAGCCATTTTCATTGAACAACTCTACAATATGTCTTTTCAGCAATTTCTGCTCGCTTGGAATTTCCAAGTTCGCTGTTTGAAATTATTATCGACAAACGTGCCATGTAGCAGTGCCTCCAAACGCTTCATTATTTTACCGCTCCTGCACCATATCATGTTTATACCGTCTATCTAGCGAAGACGCTGGCGACAGCGCGTGTGTGGGCGAAGTGTTCGGGCGAAGAAGTTTAAAGCTTGGAGAGGGCCAATTTCGAAGACGCGGGTTTATGGAAGAGGAACACTTTCGAGGGCGCGGAACGACAAAACAACAGGACTTTGGTGAGTGATTCTCGGAAGTGTATCATCCAGAAATTTGTTCTCAAGAACTTTGACGGGATAGGTTTTCTATCTCTTAGTCTTTAGTCTTTGTTGTTCAATGCTATGCTGACTGCATTGTATAGCGTGTGTTGTCTGTGGCCGTTGTTTTGATGTGTGGCTGAATGTCACTGTGTAGGACCGTGTATTTGATTGGTGTCGTAGTTGTATGTAACTATTGTGGAGTGTGCATTCTTGTGTATTGTTTTCGATCTGCCATTTTTGAGAATATAATATTTGTTTTGTTTATCAACTCTCGGCTCTGACTTGTTCTTTGGGCCACAGCCGGCGTCCGCTGGCGCGCCAAAAAGGACCACTCCCAAATTGTCCACGCTTTCATGGTGCGGTTCGGGGGGCCCATACTTCGGCCCTTGGAATTAGCCCGGCGATCGCCTCCCCTAATTAACGGGCCTGGTGGGACAATTATTCTGGCGTCCGCGGCACAGGACCTTTGGTGCACAGTGTGTCCAAAGTAGTGAGAAAGAGCCTCGAGTTGTTGATAGTGCTATCGGAACGATTTTGTGTGTTGTTCAGTGTTCTCGTTAACGAGTGCAGGGGAGTGTTCCGATAGACTGATTAAGGTAGATGCTTTTTGCACGCGGCAAGGTTTTATTTGAGAGTTGCGAGACACCATGGATCTCGAAAAGTTAGTCGCTCTTGGTGAGAAGATGGGTCTTTCTGGCGCCGAACTACGGAAGTGGGTCACCCAGAAGGAAAAAGAAGAAAAAGAGAGGGCCAAAGAAGAAAAGGCAGCTGAGCTGGAAAAAGAAAGGCTGGCGGTCGAAAAAGCCAGAGCAGAAAAAGAACCTGAGTTGGAACGGCAGAGGTTGACAGCTGAGAGGGCCAAGGAAGAAAAAGAGGCTGAGTTGGAGAGAGAAAAGTTGGCAGCTGAAAGGGCGAGGGAAGAAAGAGAAGCAAAGGAGCGACAGCTGAAAGAAGAAAGAGAGGCAAGGGAGCGACAGCTGAAAGAAAAAAGAGAGCTGCAATTGAAGTTGGAGCTTGAGAGAGAAAGACTGGCAGCTGAGAGGACGAAAGAAGAGAGAGAGGTAAGGGAACGGCAGCGACAGCACGAGATAGAACTCGAGCGACTCCGTTTGCAACAGCGAAGTGAAACTCCCGTCCAACCTAGAGTTGAAAGCAGCGAACGGGAAGATCATGGCTTCCACTTGAACCCAAGCAAGCTGCTCGTGGCGTTTGATGAAAGGAAGGACGACCTTGACGCGTACCTTCACCGATTTGAGACGATTGCGAAGAGCCAGAATTGGCCGGAACATCAATGGGCAACTGCTTTGAGTACCTGCTTGAGTGGTGAAGCGCTCTGTGTGTATGGCAGGCTGACGCCGACCGATGCAGCCAACTACGCAAAGGTGAAAGCTGCTTTGCTGAAGCGATTTAGATTTACCGTAGAAGGTTTCCGGGACAGATTTCGGACAGGAAAGCCAGCTGATGGTGAGACGGCTACGCAGTATGCCACCCGACTTTGTCATTATTTCGACAGATGGATTGAACTTTCAGGGACCGCGCAGAAGTACGATGAACTGAGAGAGCTCCTGATTAGAGAACAATTTCTTACTAGTTGCCACCCAAGCCTGTCGCTGTATTTGAAAGAGAGGAAGGCTGAGTCACTTGAAGGAATGCTTGAATTGGCTGATCAATTCTTGGAAGCGCAAGGTGGAACTAATTTGGCCAAAGTCAAGAAGGATTGTCCTGATGATTCGAAGAAATTGGCTCCCGAAGAAAAGAAGCGTGCACCGGAGAGCACTCCGCGTTGTTTTCTGCGTAACCGAGTGGGTCATCGCGCGAAAATCTGTCGAACGATCTTTACGAGCCCTACGGTAGTAAAATGTTTTAAGTGTGATCAGACTGGGCACAAAGCCGACGCATGTCGAAACGGAGCGAGTCAAATCCACCAGGTGTCCTGTGTGCTAGCAGCACCGAAATCCGATGATAAGGCCGTCACCGATGGATTCGTAGAGTTGAAGAATGGGGAGAAAATTCCTATTGTGGGTGCTGTAATGTCAAAACAGCCAACCAGTGTTACGAAAGGAATGCCAACGCTGCCAGGAAAAGTTGCGGGCAAAAAGATTACGGTGTTAAGAGATACCGGCAGCTCCACGGTTATCGTGCGGAGAAATTTGGTACGGGAAAGTGAGTTAACCGGCAAAACGAAACCGGTTTGCTTAATTGACCGTACAGTTCGGATGCTTCCCGAAGCAGAGATTGAGGTGGAAACCCCGTACTTCAGCGGGAAGGTTACTGCTTTATGCATGACGACTCCCCTTTACGACCTTGTCATCGGAAACATCGCCGGGGCGCGAGGACCGAATAATCCGGAATGTTGGGGAGAAGGCCCTAAGATAGAGCCCTCGGCAACCCAGCGACCGCGAGATACAATGGAGGAGCATCCCGTGACGGATCTCACTAGAGCCCAAGGTGAAGCCGCGGCGCAAGAGACAGCGAATGAGAAGAAGATCGTGTTGAATGAGTTCACGTGCTGGGCAGCTGGACGTACATCGGCCCGACCTCAACCGACAGACAGTGTAAAGGTGACGGAGTCGGCCAGCCGGGTCAAATGTCGAGACATGAACAAGCTGGTAAATAAACAGGCAGGACCCGTCGAATGTTATGACCCGTTAGCAGTGTCGGAAGCGACAATGATGGCTGAGACGCCGCCTCAGATATCGTCGTTGGAAAGGGCTCGCCGAAAAAGAACGTGGAATCACAAGAAGAGATCGAGCGAGCACCGCAAGAAAGGGCGCAAGCGCCGCTCGGAATGCACCGGATAGGTGTCGAGGTCGAATCTGAATGTGTTTGGCAGTGCTGAGTGCCATATGTTGTGTTAATGTCCTTGTTGTCCTGTGTCGCAACTGTATGTTGAGTGAGTCAAAATGTTTGTTTGGGTAATGTGATGTTTAGTAATGATGTGAGTATAGTAATTGTTGTAATGAGAGAACTTTATACATTTGTATTGTTTGGAATGTGTGATGAAGTGTTGTAGTCATGTACCTGTGGCTATATTTCATGTGTCGTGGAATTGAATTACAATGTACAGTTGTATTGAGGATCTATTGTGAATGTGAAGTGTCATGAGCGACGGTTTGTGTTACAGTCTTTCAGAGTGTGTGTTGACTGTTCGCGCTCGTTTGTGTGGTTTTGAATACTATGAGATAATATTCTTAAAGTGGGGGGCAGTGTCACAGAACGAGCGCTAAAAATGGGCGCGCCGCCGAATTCTTGCAATAACGGGTGGGAGAAACGCCGCGAGGTCAAAAGAAAAAAAAGAAAACAAACGTCCAAGGCTCCCCGGGCGCGCGCTCTCCACGCGGAAGCGTGGCTTCACCGACGAACCTCCTCACCCCACAACAGCGGCCGAGCAAGCGCTGGAAAGTTACAGAAGGAAATAGGCGTCGTCATGCCGAGCTGAGTCATCTGACGCGGAGGGCAATCGAACTCTCTCGCACCTTCCCCCAGCCTCCGCTGCGCATCGCGCCGACGAAATGATGAGAACTTTCTGGAATGTCGCGCGGAAGGTATTTAACCGAGCAGCCGAGACGAGAGCCCAGGAGAAGACGGAAGTAGCGCCAGAGTGCGTAGGGATTCCGCCGTGTATTCGGCGAAGGTTTTTGTCCGTAGGGACGAAGCAGGAGATGAAGAGGATTTCCACCTGAGGGGCGAAGGCTCGAGCTACAGGCAAGAGAGTGTGTTTACCGCTATCGAGCGAAGACGCGTGGCGACAGCTGCGTGTGTGAAGCCGACGTGTTCGGGCGAAGAAGTTTAAAGCTTGGAGAGTGGCCAATTGAAGACGCGGGGTTTCCTGGAAGAGAAACTTCGAGGGCGCGGAACGACAACAACGCTGGACTTTGAGTGATTCTCGGAAGAGTATCATCCAGAAATTTGTTCCAAGAACTTTGGACTGGATAGGTTTTCTATCTCTTTAGTCTTTAAGTGTCTTGGTTGTTCAATGCATGCGACTGCATTGTAGAGCGTATCGTTGTCTGTGTCCGTTGTTTTGAGTGTGGCTGATTGTACTGTGTAGGACGTTATTTGATTGGTGACGTATTGTATGTAACTATTGTGGAGTGTGCATTCTTGTGTATTGTTTTCGATCTGCCATTTTTGAGAATATAATATTTGTTTTGTTTATCAACTCTTGGCTCTGACTTGTTCTTTGGGCCACAGCCGGCGTCCGCTGGCGCGCCAAAAAGGACCACTCCTAAATTGTCCACGCTTTCGTGGTGCGGTTCGGGGGGCCCATACTTCGGCCCTTGGAATTAGCCCGGCGATCGCCTCCCTAATTAACGGGACGGGGGTGTGACATAAGGAAGTCATCACTGGAGCATGAAGACTCAGCGATGGTATCTTGTTCAGATTTTCCCCCAAACAACATGGACCGGCTAGTGGCTTTCAAATATATTGGTCTATGCTGAAAATGTTTGGCTTACGACGTACTAAACCAACGCTCACCTTTCTTAAAGTTGTACCGCGGTTTGGCCCGCTGAATCGAAAACGTAAGACACTATTGATTTGAGGCACTGGGCATAGTTATGATGGTTCAGTGGCATCGGTAATATGTATATGTTGCAAAAGAACCTGCCGGGAAATTTAATCAATTGATCCTCTCTTTAGGTCAGCTGTTATGACATGGGGTCAGTCACAACAACCGGGAAGTTGATAGGTTAACGTAGTTCTAAGCATCAAGGTCGGCTGTTGGTATACTGTCTGACCTCTTGTAGAGACGCTCGGCCTGCATGTTGAGGTTCATGCTGTGAAGGCTTCTAGCTGCGTTCAATAGTGCCACTGTGTGGTTTTGCTGGATGTCGAGAGCTTGCTCATACTGTGCCATGGCCTCTTCAGCACGGCCTGCACAAAAGAGCATATCCATGATTACTTGAATAAAAACATCAAAAGGCAGAATATTGCAACAAGTAATTCTAATTATATCAGAGATGACAAATTATAGAACCAGGGTGTCATTTGTGCGAAGCGGCAGATATATACTTCAGTACCAGCAGCTATTTTCATTGAACAACTTTACGACTCTGTCATTTCAGGAATTTCTGCTCGCTTAGAATTTCCAAGTTCGCTGTTTGAAATTATTATCGACAAACGTGCCATGTAGCAGCGCCTCCAAACGCTTCATTATTTGACCTCTCCTGCACCATATCATGTTTATACCGTTAGAAAGGTCGGAGGACGTGCTGAAATAGTAACTTCTGAATATTGAATCAGGAAATGCATCCAGCAGCAGTCTTATTAGCATAAGGTAGGAGGAAGAAAGTTTAAGCAGAAAGACAGGGTGGTTAGCCAGTTCTAAGATTATCTGGCTACCCTGTGCTGGGGTAGAATTGTCACCTATACGTTGAAATAGGACCTCGGTAAACTTGTCATACGTTGCCTCGCCGCGGTTGTCTAGTGGCTAAGGTACTCGGATGCTGACCTACAGGTCGCGGGATTAAATCCCGGCAACAGTGAATGCATTTTCAATGGAAGCGAAAATGGTGTAGGCCTGTGTGCTCAGATTTGAGTGCACGGTAAAGAACCCCAGGTGGTCAGAATTTTCGGAAGCCTACTCTACGGCGTCTCTCTAAACCATATAGTGGTTTTGGGACGTTAAACCACACATATATCAATCAATATCAAATCTTGTCACACGTTGCAGTAACAATTTTCAAGTGTTTGCCTGATTTGGCTTAGATACAGTTTACCAGACGAGTTACCAGTTATTTAGCTATTGAAGAAGTACTTAACACCTTTTATGCATAGCATGACTATGAATTTATTATAAATGAATAGAAGTCACAGTACAGCCAGCCTCACCGTGTGACTGAAGGAATGTGCCGTAGTTGTTGCGGGCATCCGCATTTCGGTCATCACTGCGCAACGCCATCTGGTGCAACCTCTCTGCTTCAGCCAGGTCACCTTTCTCAGCCATGAGGGCCGCAAGCGACGAGTACGCCTCGCAGAAGTCTGGATCAAGCTCCACCGCACGTTCCAGCAGAGCTCTTGCGACGTCCTTTTGGCCTTGCTTGCTGCACGTGGGAAAAGAACGCTAACTGTCAAGTTTCTCCTTTTTTCGCCGCAGCATGGTGGTCCAGTGACTAAGGTACTCGGCTGCTGACCTGCAGGTTGCGGGAACGAATCCCGGCAGCGGCGACTGCATTTTCGATGGAGGCGAAAATGGTGCAGCCGCGTGTGCTCAGACTTGGGTGCACGTTAAAGACCCCAGGTGGTCGGAATTTTCGGAGGCCTACACTACGGCGTCTCTCTGAACCATATGATGGTTTTGGGACATCAAACTCCACTTATCACCATCATCTTCATTACTTCAAATTTTGCGCATTTTTTTTGCAGTGCGTAGCGCACTGAAGTAAGATTCAAGAAACAAAGCCAAACCAATATAGCTGTACAAGTGACACTTACAATAAAAATGCGCCATCTACAGCTGCGATTCTAACTTGGGTCTTTTGAGTGGGAAGCGGGAATTTTACCCCTTCGGATCCACCCGCAACTCTTAAATCGACGACACAACGCAGACTACCGACAGTGCCACAAGCGGGTTGATCCTGTTTGGGCTTCATTTTTCAAAGCTGGGACCGGGCACTCCTCTCTTTTAGTAGACCCTAACTTAAACAAACTTTGAGTACATTGCCAATATAAAGCAACGGAAACATCACGTGTTACCAATAACATTCCCACATAGCGAAAAAAAATCAAAACAGATAACACACCACCGCATCACACTAGTCGTGAAGATAGTCTATCTCACAGTAGAATAAAGCAAGAGACGGCTTGCTGGTGTGTTTTATGCCCAATTTGTTGAAGCAATAACTTCAAATAATTCTCGTTTATGTCTTTTTGCCATATCTTCAAAGCTCTGGCGTCTTCTCCAGCTTCCGTGTGCAGTCGGTTCACGCACACTGCGTGACTGGTGTACGTCAGTCAAACTGGACGGCACCTGAACAGGCGTCAGAAGGAACGTAAGCGTACTTAAAATGGTGACACAGGAAGCAACTTGGCACTTAATTGGAGCATACAGTGCACGTCAGCCCATTGCGCACCTTAGCTGGAGCAGTACCGAAGCCGTACAGAAATGGTACAAGAACAGAGCATCACAGGTAGCCAAGATTGAGACCAAGATTCATGTAGCAAGGAGAGCAGAGGACTATTCTCTTTCGACGCCGTTAGCAGTGAAGCAGGCAAATACGCGGTCATTTTTTTTCGCTATATGACAAAGTGTTTTAGGGGTGAAGCTCCTTATGGCGTGGCTTGTGCGTCCCGTTGTCGTAGCACGTAACCTGTGGCGCATACCCCAAGAAGGATTATTCTCCTTGAGATACCCGCATACCAGTGGCACATACCTACCCTCGGGAACTTATCCGCATGTCCACATGTTATGAAAAACGTAGCATGGCGTCGTTATCACGCACTTGGTGTTAACAAAGCACCGAGAGCAAAAATGTGGTACATACTCTCGTTTAATGCTTGGATTACCCGCTGAATGACGTTACTTTTATATGATTATTATATGATGAAAAGAGCGAGATGGTGGCACTTGAAGTGCTCACTAGATGGACGGACGTATGCACGGACGGTCGGACAGACAAGGAGGTGGACAGACAGACAGACACACGGACGGACGGAAGAACGGACGCACGAACGGATGGACTGACGCACGGACGGATGCAAGAACGTATGAACGAACGGGCGCACGTAAGGACGTATGGACACACGGACGGAAGCATGGACAGATTGACGGACGCTTCGGCCCACTCATCCTCATTCACTTCCGTAAATATGCTGTCAATTTTGTTTAATGGCTTTATATTTACAATCAACAAAAATAATGTTTCGTTGCAAGTGTGTGCCTCTTTCCTCTCAGTTTTTAACCTCGCTACACCCACACCTTGCTAGAAAAGTCACACGTACCTGTAGATATTCGCCAGGTTAAAATGAGCCCCTGGGTGGTTTGCATTCACGTTCAAGGCGTACCGGAAGTGTTGTTCAGATTCCTCCGCTGACGTCAGCACAGTGCCCAAGTTATTGTGAGCGCTGGCGTGATTTGGCCACAACCTGCGGGAAGCGGAAAAAGTGTTCAAAGATCACCTTATCGCATTACGCCCCATCACCTGCTACAGTATGCCACGTCCTCACCAGCGCAAGCGAAGGCTTCAGTAATCGCAGTAAAAATAAATATTCTTTCTCGCTTGTCTGGGCCTGAACAAGCGTAGGTAATGCAATCCCGTTCAAAGGTTTATTGGCCACAGACCATATTAAAAAAAAAGATAGCTTCTTTGGCTGGTAGACCTAGTGCGAATGCCCGGATTACGTCGTATAAAAACCTGCATGCCTCATTTTATGGTTCGGGTGGTATCGTTTGAGTACTCGGTTTCTGGTGCTCTCTTTTTCCTCTCAATGTCACGCGACGTTTGGTGACAAAAAGAGTGAGAACCACTTCATACATAAAAAAACAAATAAGCACTAAATGAAGAATGTTTCTGGACAAGAACACTGCATGTAAGAAACGTTGAGCAAAGATTACAGCGACCGAGAACTCACGCAATTGCTAGCCGGTAGTGTTTGATGGCCAAATCCGAGTTACCAATGTCCTTCTGCAGATTAGCGTAATTGTAATGCACCTTTGCGTTTCCTGGAAGGTCCCTTACACCGGATCTGAAACAAACAAAATGCATCATTCACCTAATGTAAATATGCTGAACGAAAGAAAAAAAAAGAAAGCGTGCAATGTTGATTCACGTTCTACGTTTGGTGAACAATGAATGTGAAACGAAAGATGAACTGCGCGTGAAAACAGTACGAATTTCACCTACTCGAACAGGGCCTCTCTGGACGCCCACACGCTGTTCCTGTTCCAGGTGCGGGCAGCGAACAGCAGCACCAGAATGAAGCAGATGCTCGTAGAGCACCACCGGAGCACTCTAGAGCACCGCATGTGAAGGCGGCACAGCCCTTCGGCCACCAACAGGGACATGCCGATGCTGTAATAAGGAGAATTCCAGTGCAGCAAACTCTGCAGTATCTAATACTTAAATGGAACATCAAACAAGAAAGCCACACATTACGATGGCAAACGAATAAAAGCCAACAGTTGTGTCATGTCTATGCAAACTTCGTAATATGAGAAGCTCACATTGATGTCTCTAAAAGATACTGATTGCTTGCCGAGATGAGCGCAACGCGAAAAGCTGAATCATACGCAGCGTTTTGTGTAAAAAAAAATCCGTCTGGGAATCAATGCGATGGGAAGCAGCCAGTAAAGAGTCCCATACATTGCTTATTTCGTATTTGGCTGCAAATGAAGTTATTGGTGTTTTGAGATCTAGTTCACTATTCCCGGTGTTCAAAGTTTTGCTTTATGGTTTTCTTAAATTTCAGCACAAGAAAGAACATGAAAACCACCTTCGGAGAACACTTATCTATCCAGGGGGTCCTAGGACAATAATGGTAGCTCTCAATGTCTCAATCAGCTAGGATTTATAGCATCTTCGGAATTGTGCCCAGGAGCAGTCTAGAATTTTCCGAAAACCAAAAAAGGCAGAACGCCCCAGTTCTGTGGAGGGGCAAATGGAAATATCGAAGACAAAATGGACCACTTTGGTGCGCACTGCTAGCGCCGCCTAGCGTAACGCGCGCGCTTTGAATTTGCGCCCCCCCTGTGCTCTGTCCGGCTTTTTGCATCGTCTGCTACACGATGAGCGCTGTTTTCCGCTATGAATAGAGCCCATAAGCTCAAGTCCACACACTTTTAAAGTATATGTATGTATAAAATTACTCACGTCGACGTCGGAGTAGAGCATGACGGTTTCCCCCACAAAATTGCGAACTTTCAGTACTTCCTCCGCTGACGTCAGCACAGTGCCCAAGTTATTGTGAGCGCTGGCGTGATTTGGCCACAACCTGCGGAAAGCGGAAAAAGTGTTCAAAGACCACCTTATCGCATTACGCCCCATCACCTGCTACAGTATGCCACGTCCTCACCCACGCAAGCGAAGGCTTCAGTAATCGCAGTAAAAATAAATATTCTTTCTCGCTTGTCTAGACCTGAACAAGCGTAGGTAATGCAATCCTTTCAAAGGTTTATTGGCCACAGACCATATTAAAAAAAAGATAGCTTCTTTGGCTGGTAGACCTAGTGCAAATGCCCGCATTACGTCGTATAAAAAATTGCATGCCTCATTTTATGGTTCGGGTGGTATCGTTTGAGTACTCGGTTTCTGGTGCTCTCTTTTTCCTCTCAATGTCACGCGACGTTTGGTAACAAAAAGAGTGAGAACCACTTCATACATAAAAAACAAATAAGCACTAAATGAAGAATGTTTCTGGACAAGAACACTGCATGTAAGAAACGTTGAGCAAAGATTACAGTGACTGAGAACTCACGCAATTGCTAGCCGGTAGTGTTTGACGGCCAAATCCGAGTTACCAATGTCCTTCTGCAGATTAGCGTAATTGTAATGCACCTTTGCGTTTCCTGGAAGGTCCCTTACACCGGATCTGAAACAAATAAAATGCATCATTCACCTAATGTAAATATGCTGAACGAAAGAAAAAAAAAAGAAAGCATGCAATGTTGATTCACGTTCTACGTTTGGTCAACAATGAATGTGTAACAAAAGCTGAACTGCACGTGAAAACAGTACGAATTTCACCCACTCGAACAGGGCCTCTCTGGACGCCCACACGCTGTTCCTGTTCCAGGTGCGGGCAGCGAACAGCAGCACCAGAATGAAGCAGATGCTCGTAGAGCACCACCGGAGCACTCTAGAGCACCGCATGTGAAGGCGGCACAGCCCTTCGGCCACCAACAAGGACATGCCGATGCTGTAATAAGGAGAATTCCAGTGCAGCAAACTCTGCAGTATCTAATACTTAAATGGAACATCAAACAAGAAACCACACATTACGATGGCAAACGAATAAAAGCCAGCAGTTGTGTCATGTCTATGCAAAGTTCGTAATATGAGAAGCTCACATTGATGTCTCTAAAAGATACTGATTGCTTGACGAGATGAGCGCAACGCGAAAAGCTGAATCATACGCAGCGTTTTGTGTAAAAAAATCCGTCTGGGAATCAATGCGATGGGAAGCAGCCAGTAAAGAGTCCCATACATTGCTTATTTCGTATTTGGTTGCAAATGAAGTCATTGGTGTTTTGAGATCTAGTTCACTATTCCCGGTGTTCAAAGTTTTGCTTTATGGTTTTCTTAAATTTCAGCACAAGGAAGAACATGAAAACCACCTTCGGAGAACACTTATGTATTCCAGGGGGTCCTAGAGACAATAATGGTAGCTCTCAATGTCTCGATCAGCTAGAATGTATAGCATCTTCGGAATGGTGCCCAGGAGCAGTCTAGAATTTTCTGAAAACCAAAAAAGGCAGAACGCCCCAATTCTGTGGAGGGGCAAATGGAAATACCGAAGACAAAATGGTCCACTTTGGTGCGCAGTGCTAGCGCCGCCTAGCGTAACGCGCGCGCTTTGAATTTGCCCCCCCCCCCCCCCCCTGCGCTCCGTCCGGCTTTTTGCATCGTCTGCTACAAAATGAGCGCTGTTTTCCGCTATGAATAGGCCTAATAAGCTCAAGTCCACACACTTTTAAATTATATATCTTTATAAAATTACTCACATTTACGTAGGAGTAGAGCATGACGGTTTCCTCTACGAAATTGCGCACTTTCGGTGCTTCATTGGTGTGTCTGGTCGCCAAGCTTAGCAAAATTCCATCTTCACTGTCGTCATCAAATGAAATGGACAAACAAGCCTGCTGAAATTCGAGGTGCGCTATCTTTTTTGCTGTCGCCATACCAGCCGTTGGGGGTCGTCTGCTGATTGTCGGCTACGCACATGGCACGCAACGAATGCTGGGATTACACAGCGTCGCTCCACCAATTTTTTCGGAGCACCTCGGAGCAACGCAAAAAAGAAGTGCCCCGACAGGGTGCGCCCCGGTTACCAAAGATGGTTTGTGTGCACCGGTGCGATATATCGAATACGTACAGACCCACCGGTGCACACTGGTGCACATCGCTGCGCTTTCCCGAAGATGCCATTAGTAATTAGCTTTTCAATGACTACAGTAAGCAGAGAGTTTTGTATCGAAAATTTCAGGCAATTGCGTTTCGAAGCATTTACACGTGGAAGAATTCCTCTAGCATTTCTGTGCTCCGAGGTATCCCGCGGTAAGGTTCAATTGTACTTTGCATCATTAGCATGCAGGGCGGTGAATATCAGTGAATTTTTTTCCCGATGTGACAAACAGCCGTAGCTTGGTGTCGCCAACCTGTAGTAGAAGGGCAACCGTTATCATCTTTACCAATGCCCTCGACTTATTGTCAGACTAAACGATGCACGTAACTACCGTGGCCCTTCGGAAATTAGGTTCGCGCCAGTGCTGACTGTCTTGCACGTGTAGTCATGCTAAGCAAAACTAGGTTTCCACGCAATATCTCGGAGCACAGGCATGCTAGAAGAATTTTTCCAACGTGTAATTGTGTAGAAACGCAACTGTCTCCCACTTCTAAATACAAATATGTCCGCTCACTGCAATCTCTGAAAAGTTAATTATTGAATCCTAATTAATTGTGCCACTGACAGCCACCATTATTGTATCAATTTGTGTCCCCCTGGATGCGTAACGTATCTGCGAAAATCGATTTCATGTTCTTCCTAGTGCTGAATTTTAAGAAAACCATTAAGCTTGAATTTGAACACTCGGCATATCACATGTTTGTCATGCCCAAATGCATGAGCAACATGATATATACACCACGCGAATGAAACCTATAGGTCCTGACAGACTTCTTAGTGGGAACCGGGCTGTATGAGCGCTTGTGATGGTCCAGGGGTTATTATTTATGAAATGATGTGTTAGTATATTAACTGAGAGTAGAATTAGAAAAATTTGCGTCGGAACATTTTATGACAGTGTGAACTGCTGCAAGAAAAGCTGTTCATTCACACGTTATTTCAACTAGTTTAAATGTGCTATTATGCGTTTTTTTGTTTTTTTGCTGATTGTTCACTTTTGGTATCAGTTCAGTATTGATTTTTTAATTTTTTTCGCGGCAGAACTTATTGATATGAGGAGCTGAGGCAATATGCACGTCAAACTCTCCACAGCAAAACAGTTATAACACAACACAACAGAACAAAAACCCATATGACCGTACGTACATGACCTGGTCATGCATGACCTGCCGCTTACGTTCGTCATGCACTGATGTCATGCCATACCGACTTTCGTTTATATCCTGGTAACAAAACTCCGGAAAACGCACCAATATAGTTTGACGTAGGCCATGCAATACATATTAAACGTGGACATGAATTTTATTTTAGAACTTGTCACTTATGTTCGTCATACAAACGCGTCAGTTAATAACAATTTTAGAGCATATCAAGCTAGCGAACCGGTCACGAGCACACCGATAGCGTGGCATCTAAATGTTGTTGTTCATGACATGCATATGACTAATTTCATGTTACCACCAGTCAATTACATTTGGCTTGTAGTCGCGTCACAGAATACTAATTTTTGTAGATCAGTGTAGGCAACCGGCCGCGAGCACACCATGCGTGGGGAGAGTAAGCCATGCAGTGCGTGACATGCATGACATTATTTCCATGTTACCGCCTTTCACTTATGTTTGTTATACAATCACGCTGTATATAGAAATAAAAAGCTTAATCTCAGTATTAGAGGCATTAGTGCAAAGAATACAGAATTGGTGAAGTAAAAAAAAGAACTGAATAGCTAAATAAAAGTCTGAATATTCTTGTGTTTTTCTCAGATTGCCCCACAACCAAGCGAAGTCATAAGTGATTTTTATAGCAATTAGCAGGCAGGAGAGAATGGAGTCGTTAGGACTAACAAGGGGGAGTAGGGGCAATAATCAGTTCCAAGGCTGTGTGCTGCAAAATAACAGAAATCTGCGAGAAGAATGTGTGAATGCACACACAAGACTAACTGCAATCGAATATGCGGCGAAATATCTCCGCACCCTCATTAAGGTGGTGATGCCCAAGGAACGGCTTTCAGCTCTCCCATAGTAGAGTACCGAGTACTCTAAATCGTTAAGCGCCTTTTTCCAAACCCACAAGAATAGGTACTGAGCAGTGTATCGTATGCTTTCGTTGGCAATGCAAGCGCATGTTGGTTCGAGACAGCAAAATACCATCTGCGTGGAACGCTGCTGAAGAGTCTCAGTAATAATGAAACTGCAGTAAGCGAATATCTTACTGCACAGAGTAAGAAAATATATTGTCCCAAAAATACGTATGCAGGGACTCGCAAGAGGAAAGAGAATGACAGTGACGGCGCCGAACGACCATACCGGGAATTTACTAAAACAGCTGAGGATGCACTTACCTAGGAATTGACATCATGTAGAAAAAAAGGCCTATCCTCTTTTTTTTCTGGATATGAAGATACAAACCGCTTGATATATTTGTTCGCGGAATATCCGTTTGCATTTCCACTATCTTTGAAGAAGCTACGAGCGATTTGTGCGTGCGTGTACACAACAAATTGCGGCAGTGAAATTGCTGGGTGAACGTCGTACAGAATGGAGAAACACGACCACGTCAAAGAACGTATCGAAAATTCTAATATGTTCACAGAACACCGCGGAATAAAATTTAGCGCAGTTCGTGCTCGTGAAGTTTACGTGATATCGATGTAGGAACCAAGACGGGTAATCAGGCGTTAAAAAATAAGGTGCGTTGCAGTTCTTCGTATGACAGTAGTTCGACTGAAGACGCAGAAACATTTACAAGTGCTTGTCTGTATGTTAGAGCAAGCTTCCTCTTGAGTACGTCCAACAGAGGCAATTCAAATGCCTCCGAAACCCACACCTCCGGTGAACATGCAAAGTTCCCAAGTTGCTCTGAACTTTAGAGGTACAGGGCAACATGGTAACTTAAAGCGATGAAAGAGTCCTTGAACAGAAGGTATCGCTGCAGCGATACTTACTGTTTAGACATCTTGCATCTCATATGTACGTGTGTTTTTAACTTGCGCTGTTGAAATTAACGCGGGGTACAAGGCATCAACGCAGGCACATAGGTTGGGAAGTATGGTGTCAAGTTTTAGAAACATGGAAGCTCATATATAACGCAAGTAGGCCAACAAGCTTGTTCACAGGAGACAAACGCTACGTTCCCCATTTTGTTTGCTTGATCATGAGAAGCATCGTATTGCGAGAAGAGAGCAGAAAATCTTGCGTCAGCTGCCCGTAAAAAACAGTTGCACCCCCAGACGAAAAAAATCTTATAAAATGAAAAACGAAATAAACAACAATATGTTTGCATAGGTATTAAAAATATTCAATTAAAATGTCAGTTTCATACGAAACGCGAATTACGCTGAGTCCAGCAATGCATCAAAGCGGCGATTAAGATTGAGGATGGTTATTTTGTTCGTCTGTTGTGTTGAAGTAAACGTTGTCGCATTCCTAAATTTTTTCACGAATAAAGAAGCCATGTTAAACTGTTACTTGGCTCTTCCGCGTGAGACTAATATGACAACAGTTCAGTCGTTTCCACTTCTTCACAAGCTTTCTCTATAATTGTGATCGTTGTGGAGTTGCCTGTAAAGGGTGCTTCGTTGTATATTTAGTGTTAATGTGGCAAAGGTACTCACTGCCCGAAAAGCCCTTTTGAAGGTATATAGGAATTAAATAAAGTGCCCACCGGCGATGGCGTACACACACCGCATGAAATGAACCCACTTGCCAGAGTTATAAAGTTTTGCATTCCGCTATTTATTCTAATTATTGTTTTTATGCTTCGCTATTATCCGCGCGCTTCTTAGTGAATGCGGTGTCAAATTGTTCACAGAGTGAGGTGACTACGTCGAAAATGAAAGTGGACTGTTCGCAAACATACTTTCTATTTTCCAGCGCGGAGCTCTTTAAGCTTTTCCTTGTCCAGATGGTGCAAACAGGAATGATAACTCTGAACAGGTACACGCTTGCTCAATATCTTTTAACTTTCGCTTCGCTCCCATAGCACTGATCGCTGAGTTTTTTTTTCTGATGTGGAATGCAAAACCTAAGACGGGCGAGTCTGTTAGGTGACTGAATATTATATACCTTTATATATAATCTGTCACGTGACTAAAATTGCTGTAACATCACGTAAAGCTCGCTCACCTAACTATAACCGCGTAACAAAGTCACATGACTGAACATCATATAACTATCACGTCACCTATCTTTGTCTGTATTTATTGAAAAACACTTGCGTCACCAAAAATCATGCTACGCCTAGTCGCAGCATGACTAAAAAGACGTAGCAATTAGTCGGGTCGCTGATATAAGGCTGCATCGCAATCCGGCCAGTTACGTCACATGTTGCCGTCATATATAAATCTCGTAATCGCTACTCACGTGGCATGTTACCTTCATAAACCACATAACAGTAGAGTGACCTGACTAAAATCACATCAGGTAACAGATAGGAACGGGACATGTCTAGGCATGTCTGGGCATACTTAATACTACTAGCGAAAACATAGGATATCTCGCAAATATTTGGCATTACTAGCATAAGCTTGGTAAAAAAGTAGTTTCACTGATAGTTGCAGCCTTTCGCCACTAGGTAAAGGCTGCAACGTCTTCTTGAAAGATGTATTTGCACGGTTCAATTCATATATAAAAGTTATTTTTACATATCAGATTCAATCGTATCATTCCGCCTTTTGAACACCATTCGTTATCCGCTATCATAGGTACACATACGATTACTATCATGTGCGCTGTTAAAAAGTATTCCGTACCTGGGAATGTAGAGGACTCTCTCAGCTACGACGAAGCCGACGGTCACGAACAGGTTGGACGCCGGAAGGAATGGCAGCACAGTCAGGAGCAGGGGCACCAGTAGTCTTAATGAAGGGTCACGCAGTTGCTCAGTGTTGTTGTAGTAACATAGTTGTTCTCTTGATCCACTGGCAGGCTTCATGCGTCACATAAAATGATACCAATCGCTTAAAGTTCTCAAACAATCCTATCATGCTGATATCGATGACAACTTGCGCGCAGTTTATGGTTACAAAAAATCACACCATATCCACGGAGTGAATGATGATGAGTGGGGCGAAGCGTCCGTCAGTTTGTCAGCGCTCGCGTCCATCCGTTCGTTCTTGCTTCCGTCCGTCAATGCGTCTGTCCGTGCATTCATTCGTCTATCCGTGCGTCTGTCTGTCCGCGCGTCCATCCGTACGTCCATTTATCCATCTGTCCATGTGGCCGTGCGTTCATCCGTGTGTTCGTCCTTGCGTCCGTCCATCCCTCCATCCGTGCATTCATCCGTGCGTGTGCTCCTCCGTGTGTCAAACAGACAGACAGACGACGGACAGACACAGGTGGCGGATGATTTACTGTTTGCCGATGAAACCCCCCGAAGCTTCACCCCACTCATCATCATTCACTTCGTGGATATGCTTTGAGGTGGTTACTACATACATGCATACATACAGGTGACGAGCTAAACACGCCTTAAGGGGCTTCGCCCCTTAAATGTTTCGCCTGAAGACACACACATGCAAGAACACAAATACACTCACGCACACGTGTACATATGTTAAAGGTAATACTTAAAGTGGCAGAAAGTCGAACTAATCAGTAAGGACTTATCATAGAAGAAGGTAACACGTGCAGACTGGGACGCAACAGAAGGGACCAGACGGCGTTTGTGTTGTCTTGTTTCCTTTATTTGTGTTTTTGTTTGCACACTCTGCCTTCATAATTACTTTTGCCTTTAAATGTTGCTTTCATCTCAGGTAGTAAAGGTGTCGTTCTTGCTTTTATGATGAGCAAGCCCACTATAGGTTTATGATTGTGAATGTTTAATCGGTCTTATTAAAATCACTGACTGTGTTACTGCCAGAACGGCCAATATACTATTTTTGTGAAAATTCTGCGACTTCAATTTTTTTATGGTAGAGGACATAAAATAGTGAAGAACACAAGGAAACAAAAGTTCGCCCCATTACAAATGTATGTGCATAGCCATTCACCTTCATTCATTTATTTTCTTCAAGACAGAAGAATGAAGCAGTGTATAAATGTACTCTTGAGACTACTGGTCCAGTTATGGGGAAACTTGTTGGCCGGTTTTACAAAAAACCCAGCTAATGGACGATTTATCTCGTGACCCTCTAGAAGGACAAGTATCGAAGAACCGTCTGCGGATAAATATAGCAATGTGGAGCTTCCCTGCAACGTGACATACAGGGAATTCGCGCAAATAGGCTTAAACGTCATTACCATATCCGCTGTGAGGAGAATAAACATACTGACCAGCTGGACTGAATACATGTTGGCTACACGCTTTATACAAGACTTAATACACGCTAGCCTTGTAATGGTAATGGCGGTTGACCTCGTGATGGTTTCTCGTGAACCGACGCTATATAGTGCTTTACATATTCGAAATTTGGATGCGTTAGACCTACCGAAGCAAACATAATAATTAAAAAAGTTCATATAGGAAATATAGAACGACCGTTCGGTGAAAGTGTGATCTTAGTAACACCATGATCACCACAAAAATTGGCATTCCAGTGCCCCCCCCCTCCCAAAAAAACATACATGAAATTGAAGTTAACTCATTGCTATTCCGTTTTTAGGCAAGGCCCGTAGAATAAGAATTATGAAACGTAATGGCAACTCACGCTGCTTTTTCTTTTCAATCTCGTCAAAGTCCGCCAGCCAAGAGCCAATAGCGAAGTGATTAACGCCAGTGTAGCCAGATTCCTGCAGTCGCACGGTGATGTCACGAGAGGTATACTGCCCATCTGCCAATCGTATGACAGGGTACGTGGACACAGCAAGATCCAGGCGTTGAAGGCACACAAGTAGCTGTAAGTCAGTAGCCTGTCGCAAAGAAAAGGAAGGAATCAGGATGGGCGACATGCATTCGCAAGGCTTATCATAAAATGAGCAGTCGTCACCTAATATTGCTTTGTGCAGTGCTGCCAACACGCTCTGTACTTTTTGTGAAGTGAAAGTAGGATGTTAGCAGGTGCTCAATTCTTTTATGTAGGTGCCAGTAATTGAGTATACCGTTTTCCTGGAGTATTGTTTTTGGAGTTGGTAGTAAGAAAATACTCTATAGTATTTTTACTGCTCAAAACTCTATCTATACACTAGACATATACAATAGAGAAGTAATAAAAGCTGCGGCATATGTAAAACTGTTTACTGAGGAATTAAATTTTACTCGGAACTGTGTATTTAATATTTAAGCGTGCATAAATGTTCTGCACTACATTTTTATCGCGTTTCTCCATACCCGACTTCGTTTGTTTGGTTTTTTTTGCGTGACATTTTCTCACTGATTCTTTTATTTTGAAACGTCATGTTCGCCATCGTGGAATCAACAGTGGACTAATAAAAAATGATTCAAGATGCGCATTTTAAAATGCCTGTCTTTTCATAATGCTGTTTCTCTCTATCATTTGAAAGTAACGTCTTATACTAAGTAACGCAAGACTTGCGTTTGAAAATCTTAACTATATCTCTGTGACGTTTCGCGAGTTTTTATATATGTTCTGAAGTTAGAGACCCAAGATACGAGACTTCATAATGACTAAGAAAGAAAACATTGTAAGAATTCAGTTTTTGACTATTGACACTAATGCAATCTTGTTCTTTTCTATACAAGGAACCGCTTGCCCCCAAATAAAGATCGCCGATCTCAAATATTTTGTTAAGCGAGGGGTCTGCGATATGGTGATACAATAGACGCTTTTCATAACTGTAAAGCAAGCTATCAAAACTAATGGTGGATAGGCAGTTACTGCAAAGAGGTTCTTTGTGCAAAGATTAATTGCGCTAGGACATCAAAAATATTGGCTTTCTTCTCTTGACATATACAGGCGTTACCGACAAGCTCCAGCGCGTGCAACTAGGAGTTAGTCTCGACCTGAAAGATGCCGGCATTAGTTGAGGGTATGTACAGTGCGGAAAAGTGCACTTGCTGATAATAAAGGGGTATAATAATAGTTATAAGCTGGTATTGCATTTGTAATGAAACCTAATGATTTAGGATACTTTCTTACTACCACTAGCCATATTTGAAAGGTATGTTCACCTGGTTGTACGCATCGAGGAGAAGGCTGCAGGGTTGTCCATCTCAGAAAATTCAGGAAAGCTTCCTTGCAGAATGCATATCCTGAAGCATAGGAGCAATATCGTCTGCACATAGAAATAAAAAAACAAGTTATTAGCGCATTAGATGTTATTGCCTAGTGCTTTCCTTGCTTTAGTTTCTGCCAGTGATTGCTCCGAAAACGTCATAAATTTTCTGGGTTCATTCAAGACAACAATTGCCATCCACCAATTGCGCCAGTCTATGGACTAAACTAGTAGACATTTCTCACATTGAAAAGGTAGGCAGTTGATAAATATATGTCATGTGAAGGAATAAATAAAGGTACAAAGACTTGGTTTGTTGGACGCTATTCGGTCGGAATCCATGAGTTATACGGCAAAAATCGTTTGCTTGCTGGTATACTTAATTTCTTTTTGAGAGAATCTATGATTTCTTTTAAAGAACAAAAAAAAACAGTAAACCTTCTACGTCTATTCGCCGACACTTCAGTCACATTTTGGTTGTGACAACATTGCACTTTATGAGGCAGCACGTGTATAGGAATCACTGTGATTATCATTATTTTCATTGTTTCGTTCACCTGCATCTTTCTGAAGGTTTCATTACCAGAAAACACGGGTTTTTTATAACTAATGACGCCGGCAAAACACGGGATTTAATGCGAAACAATCTTGTTCCCGCTGTAGAGTTAATGGAAAGCGCGCAAACACGGGAAAATATGGCGAGCTAGACAGGATCGAGAATTGTGATATCGCCATGCTATTCTTACGAATTTCAGGAAGTGACTACGCATCACTAGCGCATACTGGCCATACAAGAAAGCAAGATCCAGAGCATATAAGTACGCGTGGACGTTTACTTATCGAGGGAAGCTTGACTAAAACAATAGCGACTGTTTCGCTTTGTTCTATCACTCCTGCACAGCGTGGCAACGCTATTGTTCTGATGCGAGGCAGACCTATTCGCGGATGGTTCCAAACTGCGCCGTTTATCGATCGCTATTCGTTGCTTTAGAAAAGCGTGTAGGCCATATACGCGATAAGAAATCGTCATACTCACTGCCAGGGGTCCTATTCCTTTTGTACTACGCTACTGAGTAGCGTTTGTTAGCTAGTAATAATGACAAGTAAAGACATTTTGCCTGGTTGTAATCGGCATAGGCACTGCCACGGGACCTATTCCTTTTGTACTACGCTAGAGAGTAGCGTTTGTTAGCTAGTATTGGTGACCAGTAAAGACATTTCTCTTGGTTGTACAGGGATTACAGAGCTTGGCTGCTGACACGAAAGATCAATTCTGGCTGAAACGTCACAGTTCAATGCAGGCGAATTGTCCTGGCACCTGCATAGGCAACTGTGTGATGTCAGTTCCATGTAAATGAACACCAGATGATGGAAACTTTCAGAGCTCAACGTGACTCATTCATTTCGTAGCTCTCGCTCGTAAAATTCAACATATGACATTCATACTGAACAGAGAGTTGTGAGAATGATAAGTCCATACGTGCCAGGATAAATTGTCGGTTCATCATTTTGTATATGCATGTGGAAGAGATTACAAGTTCTCAACACGCTAAAAATATGTCCTGGCAATGATCATACATAGCGCCAATGGTGGCTTCATATAAAGCTTTTTTACTCCCATAATGTCATCGTTATCATTGGAATAAGACGTGTAATGAAATAGGTTTACAGCCTATGAAGCAAGACGTAACACAAGGCTGGCTCTTAAAGGACTGAGTTGCCACAAATCGACACACCTTTCAATTAACTTCTTGTCGATTTGGCAAGTGAACTGCAGATAAGTGCGTTCCTGCTTGAGAAATCGGCAAGACCATTCCATAAATTACAGTCTCGGGGCCCATACTATTGACTCGGAAAAGAACATTGCCCCTTCATGCTATCTATCTATCTATCTATCTATCTATTATCTAATCTATCTATCTATCTATATATATATATATATAAATATAAATATATAATATATATATATATATATATATATTATATATATATATATATATATATATATATATATATTCATTTTAACCAAACGCCGTTCATGGTTTCAATTTCTTCGCTAGCAGCTAGTGCACGTCTGCACACGTTTATACTACTACATATTTTTAAAAATACTCCCACCTCCCAGTCACGACTAGAGCTTGTAAAATGTATGGGTCTTCTAGAAAAATATGCGTGCTCTAGTTGTCATCGTCAAGCTTGGATAATTCCACCTCAACCGAAGTCCAGAGAGACTAGACTAGAGACCATAAACTTGTACAGCTGCCAGGCTCCTCGATTATCACCACACGATACGCTTGAAGGCCGCTTTAGGATATGCTGAGCAAAGATGAATACCAGTGGGCATTGTTTTTTTTAAACCATACATCGGTGATCTAGCTACTTTTGACGGTAACTCAGCTTCTTCCTGTCACGTCGAGCAGTCTGCGCACTTGGAGCTCTGAAGTCGTTCACCAGTTGTACAGTCCTAGTTGTATTACTTTTGAACTTTAATTTTCCCAGCCCCTTGCTTAAGAATGACTTGGATTGGAAGAGTATGTTCCACCAACGATCTTAGCAAGGTGTATCAAGTAGTCTTGAAATCTTTACGATGCGTCACGAGCAGTAAAATATGCAATTTGAGAGGTCGTTGGCAATTCAGAATGTCTTGGAAATATATTGTTCCTGCTTCAGGTAGGAGTGCTTTATTAAAGCACAGCGTAGCGGGCGTATTTCTACTGCGCAGTGGCAACCAGAAGGCGTTGGCAGAAATCCCACTTGACAATTCATAGTACACTGCTTCGGTAGGTTCAAATGTTCCGTGAGCCTTTCAGGTTCACAGTGACGGAAACGTCCAACTTTGGATTAAGAATCAGCCTTTTATCGAAGGTAGTCGTTGACGAATGGGATGCCTTGAATTTGCGACGATGTGTCGACCATAACGTTGAACTTCATAGTCAGAGATTGTTCTCCTATAACTCTGCGATGTAGCATATAAAATATAGCGTGATCAATTAAAGCGTTCTCAGGCACCACTTCAGCATGTCTTAACTTGAAATATTGCCGAAGGGCTGTGTCGTGTTGCACCAATAGTCCTTTCCATGAATAACCGCTCGATCTGCCAGTTTTTGGGGACGTCTGAGCATGCCAACATAATTTGTTTCAAGTGGCTGTTTCGAGCTGTCTATTCGAGGTAGTTCCACAGTACACCCATTTTATTGCGATAGCGATTAAATGGACAGTCTCGGCTGTATTTTTTCCGCCGCTGCCACCACCGTCATCCTACGCATATATATATATATATATATATATATATATATATATATATACTAGATATAATATATATATATATATAAGGCTTATATGCAGAGGAATAACTTCGGTGTTGCCGCAAGGTTATAAGTATGAAAGTAGATGCGCTTTCACATAACAACTGTTTGCAGAAGGGCTTTTCTTGAAGGGCGAGTTGGTACATGATACTGAGGAAAACAGCGCAAAAAACGGGATGGAGAAAAATTGAACACACGACACAGGCGCTGTCGTGTGTTTAATCTTTCTCCGTCCCGTTTTTTGCACTGTTCCCCTCAGTAATAACTGTCAACAGCGCGCCGCTCTTTCTCCCACAGTAGGCCGGAGCTCCTGCTATCAACACGAAATAAGAGTACTGCGCGGTAGAAAACACGGACGGGAAAAATACAAGGACAAGCGTCTTTTTACCGTCCGTGTTTTCTACCGCGTAGTACTCTTAGATTATGTATCACCAACTGGTTCAATCGTCCACCTTGATCAACACGAAACAACGGTGCCAAAAGTGTACCAGGAGTGGCCGTTCACATATAGATGTGCTCGGCACATAACAAATTGCCACCAGCGGTGACACGCGACGTATGGCCCTTAGTGCCAGCATGCGCTGCCCGCGGGAGGCACTTCTCACCAATGCCTGTCACTACGCATGGTTCTTGTTGTGATCATCTACTGTGACCACGCCGCAAGAAACTTGGTTACTTGGCAAGCGCATGTTTACTACAAATATTATTGCTCCTGAAAATGCTAGCCTTGCTTCGTAAAACATTTCAATGTGTTGCTATCCCATTCATTGCTTTGCCCTTTTGGCTAAACTGTGACACTTTTTCTGTGCAGGTCATTTTTTGATGCCTGCAGTGAGCTATTATCAGTGTCGTTCTCCAGAATCTCTGATGCCCACTGCTACAAGCTGCCAGAATTATCGAGGAATCCGTGATGTTGATTCATTGACGCTGATCGTTTCGACTCTTAGTACACAGACTACGGGTTTAGTGTCACCGTCAAAAGTGGTACTTTTCCCACCTCGGTGGTCTAGTGCCTAAGGTACTCGGCTGCTGACCTGCAGGTAACGGAATTGAATCCTGGCTACGGCAGCTGCATTTTCAAGTGGAGGCGAAAAGGCTATAGGCCCGTGTGCTCAGATTTGGGTGCACGTTAAAGAACCCTGGTTTTCAAAATTTCCGGAGCCGTCCACTACGGCGTCTCTCATCATTATTTGGTGGTTTTGGGACGTTGAGCCCCACATAATAAATCAAATCACTAAGAGAGGTACTTTGATGACTGGGCCCTTGCACTAATTGTCCAGCCAAGTGCCGTGTTTATTGTCGAAAATCCTGGAATATCTTTGATTCTCATTTTTTCTCCTCTAATCATTATCCACAGGTGGTCAGCTCCAATCAACAAGCTGATGCCAGTCACAGTCTCCGCCTCAGTTGAGTTATTTTTATCAGCAATACCTTTTTCTTTGTGACGCGACTTCTGTGTTAGGTAGCCATCACATGTCGGCAAAGTAATGTCGTCACAGATAAACGGTACGACAATGACCCGAATGGTGTGGCTTTGAGAATGGTGTAGGCTACGCAAGGGAACTTAAAAAATATTTCGTTGCCCTGCAGAAGTTGGAGAAACGATGTCAAACGTGTTAAATAAAGATCTAGTTTTTTTCCAGCAGATTAAGTTGCATTTTTTTTTCAGCTAGAACTTCGGTGATGTATGATCTCTAGCTTCCTCCAACGAGAATCCCTCTGATGTAGCTGCATCTGTTACCAATGACGACAAAGGCGTGAAAGATCTGCCGGTGCACTCCTGTGTCTGTCTTGGCGCAACCACTTGAAGGATTCTTGCCGCATAGATCGTGACCTAACCTGGAGCTCGCATGTCACATACCTGAAGAAAAAGCTCATTGGCATTGAGAATGTATTCAAGTTCGTCGCCGGAAAATCATGGGGCCCATCCGTGCAATCCACGTTTCAGCTTTACACAGCCCACTTTCTCAGAACTCTCCGGCACAGCCTTCCTGTCCTGTCCAACGTGTGCAAGGCTAACATCCGTGCACTGCAAAGCGTACAAGCCCAAGCACTTCGGACATGCCTTGGCCTTCCAAGATGCTCATTGACAGTGTCAACTATTGTTATTGCACAAGAACAACTGGTCACAACGCACATCATTGACGAGACGCTGAGAGCGCACATTCGGCGTTTATCACGGCTACCGTCACATCATTTAGCGTGTTTGACAGCTCGGAGGCCCCATTCTTCGTACTGCGGTATCGTGACAAAACATCAGGACATACTACCGCCTGGCTTCAAACTTGCGATGCATCCAGCAACTGCGCCATGGAGTCTTCGTCAACCTGACGTGCGCTTATCAGTTCCTGGAATGTTTAAGAGGGCACGCATGTCAACGCTAGCCCTGAAGCTATTGACTTTGCGTCTGTTGGACGAAAGGTACTTCGACCGCATACATGTTTACACCAATGGCTCCACTAATTCCAACAGCTCCACAGGAGCAGTGGTTGTTCCATCTGAAAATGTGTTGCTTCAGTACAAGTTTTTTCACACCACGACGTCGACAGCAGCAGAGCTCGCAGCACTTCAAGGTGCAGTAAAGTACATTCTTCGCCAGCAACCTAACCAATGGGCCATCTTTTGCGACTCCAGGTCAGCCTTACAGTCACCATGGTTCGTTATGCAGCACGGGCTACATGAAAAATCAGTATATCAGATAAGGCACGACTACCACGAAGCGCTCGCGGAAGGTCACGATATTGTATTTCAGTGGTTGCCGAGTCATTGCGGAATCGTCGGCAATGACCGCGCGGATGAAGCTGCTCGATCGGCTAATGACCAAGACCAGTGCACGCCCATACCACTCTTGAGAACGGACGCTGCAAGGCTACTACAATCACTTGCTCGCCGTATATCTCTCCTACAATGGAATACGCAGGGTTTCTCCAACAAGCACCTGTATTCGATCGACCCAAACTTGCAACTTAGTTTGCCATCCGGGTTCCCACGATGCGCTGAAACTTTACTGTGTCGCATGAGGTTGGGCGTGGCATTTACGAATTCGTACTCTCGTCTCCTTGGAATGGCGAGCATTTCGGCATGCAACATCTGCGCCTTCGAGAAAACGCTTGAGCACATTCTATGTCATTGCCCAGCATACCAAACCGAACGACGTATTATGGAAGCCAAGCTCTGTCAGCTGGATTCACGGCCGCTTACAGAAGAGAAGATGCTGGGACCTTGGCCGACGGCTTCCCATACGCGCAAAGCCACGAAAGCCCTCTTGTACTTTTTAAGGACCACCAAACTTCACGACCGCTTGTGAAAGAACTGTGCGAGGCCGTGCTGTGTAGTCTCGAGCTGACTATTTATGCTTCTCTTTCTTACTCCTCTTCTTTTCTGTCTCTTTCCGTTCTATTATTCCCTTTTTCCCCCACTCCAAGTGTAGGGTAGCCAACCGAGCCAAGCTTAGTTAGCCTCCCTGCCTTTCCTCTCTATTTGTCTCTCTCTCTCTCTCTCTTTTGCCGCATAGCATCACTGAGTGTGACGTCCCTCTTGTGCATCCTGAAACCTCTGCTTGTAACGACGTTTCCGCTGTAGCCAATTTACTTACGCAGTGAGGGTCCCACATACTCATGTGCGCCTTCCGTGACAAGCTGAGCACGTAAGTTTGACGTGGAAAAGAACGTGCCTGATGGCCTCGGGACGTGCATTGATAGCAGCGGTTGTCTTTCGTCAGTATTCCTTTCTTAGAGTCGAGCGAGAGGTTCGCATCACAGGCGCGTGTGCCGTGTTTTTTTTTCGATTTGCAGAAAAAACACTAGCTCCAGCTGTTTGATGTGCTGTGCGGTACCGAAGCGGTGCTGCCGCCTCGACCTTTATGATGACTAAGAGTGTGGTCAATGAGAGGTCATTCTGAAAATGGCTGACACTGATCCGGCTTTCTATCTGTTTCAATGCGTGTGAAAGTGAGCTCTTTTAATTTTGTATTCGAGGTTGCAGCTGCTAGTGCTGGGTCTAAGGCATTCGTAGAAGGCTCGTGTCTCAAAGCGTGGCCGCGCTTTGCTCGTGTGCACGCCAGTACGATATCATGTGGCGAAGATTCTCGTAGAATGTCAATGAGCAAGAAAAAGTGACCGTTGGTACGTTTAGTGCAGTGAGACAGCATACGTTGAGCTGAGTGGTATCGTAAAGTGGCCGGAGGCCGCGTACGCCACTTCCATACTTTACGTGAGGTAGATTTCGAAACGCTGATAGCTGGTGCTGCTCGATTCGTTTCTTCTTGTCGTCCCGCTGTGGTCCCCGGTTTCGGCACCACACAGTAAAGAAACCTATCGATCGGCAAAGAAACCAGACCAAACGCCGTTCATGGTTTCAACGTCTTCGTATTGTCTAGCAGTGCTCGCGTGCACACGTTTATACTACATATTTTTCTGCACCATAGCTGCAAGTACACCACTCCACGCACGAACTAGTTATAGGCACAAGTAATATGGGTATGCTTCACTTGACCTATAACCTTCAGCACTTCATTGGATATGTCAGTTGTAAATATAGATAAAACTTTTCGCGTTTTTCAAGTGTAAGGCAAGAAAAGCGTAATGGTCTTTCGTCGAACACTTCAAAATGTCTCTTAGCTAGTTTGAGAGTTACCACATAATTACAGATGTCCAGATATCTACGTTGAGAACTTTTATACCACGCAGGTAAATGTGAAGCAATGGATCACTTACCAGTGTCGTGAGAGCCACAAGCTCTGAATCGGTGATGCATCGGTAGGCAATACCTCGTATGCAGTACCTGCAGACTGGCCTGAAAGTCAGTTACACGTACTTTTTCAGGTTTCGAAAGTGTGGTCGTTAAATTTTATATGTACATGTCTTGCACTTTCTCAAAGATATGCTCAATGGCGCTGGTGTAATACAATTCAACAACACTGTTTGAGATCACCAATTATATCTACTTCGATTGGAAGTACTATGGCTTGCCTTGAAGTCGAGGGTTTGACGGAAACGCGATTTATCTCCATAAAACATGAGGCTGCAAAATCTGCCAACCAGAAGTTTAGGCCTGCCTGTTCAGTATGAAACAAAGGCAACTAATCTGTTTTTACAACTCTGAAACAAAGCTACAACAACACGAGGGTTGTCTTCTGTTGCCCAAGAATATAGCTACCACAGTGCGAAAACGGCACTGAAAACATTACGCTAAGCTTTGTGATAAAGCTTAATCAAGCAGTGCATCAGATAGGACAAAAGGGAGAACGACCTTGTCAATTAGTCTCACCTTGCTGTCTTTTACAAACGTTCTCTGATGCGCTGTTTGATTCAGTTCCAAATTGGAACCCCACTAACACTAATGCATTCTTATGAAGGTTTTTTCTGTCATCTCTCATACATAAACATTTTTTTTCAGTCAATTCGAAGTGAACTCTGAACACTTGATTGAATGCACGAGTTAGTTAAGGAGCAGCGAATGATTTGTACAGACTTTCGTGAAGCTATGAATACCGTAATTAAGGTTGCATGCTTGAGCGTAGGAAATGACCAACTAGTAATCACAGTGCGCTATATGCGGTAAAGAAAGCATCATGAAGTATTTCAGTACAAGAAACTGTAAATAGTAAAAGAACTTACCACGTCCAGCATCCAGCTTTGCGGCGTTGCATCTCTTTTCCGGGGTGCATAGATTCACGCACTAATGTGCTTATCCTGAGAGCCATGCACAGCGGCAGAACTGTGATGCCTTGCTCTTTGGAAAGCAGCGCACATAAGGATAGTAGACCACTAGCTGCGAGCCACTTTGACTGTCCATGACTCCCTTGGACATCTCGAGAAAGTTGGCAGCTGTTGCGGTGAAAAAATAAAATAGAGTGCACTTCTCTAAACTGCCTCATATTCTGCCCTATCATATCTGTTTGCGAGAACAACACGAGTATTTCAAAACATTTTGTTAACAGCACGCTGTCTACATGCAAATTGTGAGGAGAAGTTTGTGGGACAACTCAACCACCTAACCTATGAGATTTAAGATTTGGTTTATTTTCCCCACGTAGGTACATTTGTAGGAAAGCGAACATTTACTAATTGGGGGGGGGGGGGGAGGATGACAGAATGAAAAATGCAATATATGTAGCTTCACTGGCTTCGCTACCCACATGGCATAAAAAGAGCAACTTGCCGTGCGGAAAGCGTTTTAGCAGTGCGAAATTGAGAATCGCGTAGCAAAGTTCAGAAAGATGATAAAACGCCGAAACTACCCTATTTACACTAGAAAGGAAAACGTAAGCAGACACTATATCTGAAAATTGAATTTCTGAGAATCTCAGGTTAACGTCGCCTGTTTCAAATTTCAGCAATTCAGAATTTTCGCGCGTTCATGCAGTCTGCCAGGGAAGAATCTGTTTTGTTGTAATTGTCGAAAATTGAGTCCTCTAACGATAGACTGTCATTAAAAATGTGAAAACAGCTAATGCCAATGTTGATTTTCATCAGCAACACTTATTACCACGAAGCACCAACATCCGTACCACTGTGCTAATCATGCTAATGGCTACTTATGAAAACACATGACCCTTCCCAGTATTTTGATGTTAGGATATTCCGAAGTGCTATGATATTTTTCGTGCAGAAGTATAAAACGAAGATATCTCAAGCATCACAGCAGACCAGGTTAATACTTATCCTACACATATCCGTCTCTCTATCACTATGTCTTGACAAAAAAAAACAAATGAGTAAACGGCTAACTATTATTTTTTTGCAAAATACTCATAACACACTTTGAAGATTTGGCACTTTTCTTATTAGAAACCGAAAGTATCTTTTCTAAATAAAGGCGGTGATTAGGGTTCGATACTCACGCAATATACAGTTGCTAACGAGCCCTGCACTGTACCCGCCGAGTATTCCCACAAATCAGTTGTACTTAACGCAAAAAGTAAACGCTAATGCGTGAAATGGCGCGTCAGCCTCTACAGCCAACTAACAAGACTGCTGATAGAGCATGCGCCTAGGCAGCTCTCATGCAAGCCAGTAACCTTTTTTTCCGAAACAAACGTATGCTCACATCGGCAACATTGTAGCTGGGCAATCGTCCTCCTAATGCTGAGTACGCCTTCAATACCACGCCTTGTGAGGACTACGCTGCGATCAAAAGCGCGTCAATGAGGCCGCAGCTGATGCAAACATTTGAAAGCATTTTCACGTAGGCATATATATGCGAACGCTATCACTTAACGTTTTCTTTCGTAGTTTCTTGTTGGCTGACAGCTGCAAAGCAACACTAATAAGGTTAGTAACGCTAAGTCGCTCGATTACATTATGGCAGTTCGTACTTCCCGAGTTAAATGCTATCAAACGTGTGTACACTCAACTCTCATTTAGTTCGCAAATGCAATGGCTTGACTCACACTTAAGGCTTAAGGTGAAATCACCAGAATGCGTTTTGGTGCAAGGTTTGCGCTCGCTATTCCATATTCTTAATCTGATATGGTCATTATACATCCCGTTACAGAAGCTAAGTCAGACGTTATTATCAACATTTCGCGCGGAATTTGAATTTAAATTTCCGTTCGGTAGAATGAGTATATTGATGAAAAATTAAGCAAATATGAGAAGAAAGAAGAAAAAAAGATAAACCAACGGAACGACCTGAATGAGGGTGACGTTGCACACATGCGCATGCCCAGTCAGTTGCACAAAGACATTAGTAGCAACTTCTGAGACACGCATCCCAACCCTCCTCGGAAGTCTGTCTATGGTGCTCGAATGCTGAACCGAAGGTTGCGGCAGCCTTATTTTCGTAGGAGGCGGAAAATGCTTGATGCCCATGAGCTGGAATTTAGCTGGATGTTAAATAACCCCGTGTGGTGGAAATATACAAAGCCCTCTAGGGCACCCCTCGTAATCGTACCGTAGTTTTCGAATGATAATTAGTAGTGGCGTGCACAATTGTTTCAGTGATAGCGTGTTGCCTCTCACGCAAAAGGCCAAGCTACCACTGCAGTGATGTTGACGGTGACGCTGTCGGTGACGCAAGTTTTCTTTTAATTCAACCGCACTGGGATTTGAATTCAATTCCCAGTGCGGAAATTGAATTCAATTGAATTCGGTTGAGTTCATTTTAATTTGTGAACTAACATTTATTCTTCCCAGTGACGTGCGAAATGACGACATTTTGTTGCAGTAAAATTCTGCCTTCTCATCAGGCATCTTAGGCTGTCGCACTCTTATAAAAAATTGGACGTCTTAGGCGCACAACTTGATAACATCCATTGCCCTCTTTTTGTGTAGTAAGCCTGCCAAGCTGCAGCGCAATGGTTCAACAACATCATTAAAACTGGTGAAGTTGAGTGACTATCAATTAAAAGGGTATAAAGCAATAAACTAAATTTTATTTAGCGGGATACCAAAAAATACTTGGAAATATACGCGTGCTGATGTAGTCACCTCTTTTATAAAGTAGGCATATTTCATGCATTTTTAAATTAACATTCGTAATGATGTATTATGGAAACATTTTGTCTGGTTATCCCTCTAAAATCAAATCAAATCGGGAAATGTTTTATGCCTAACAACTATCTATTGAGCAATAGGTTGTGAGAATCATTATTTTCCTACATGTTTTGCTGTTGGCTTAAAGGAGCCATTTTTCACTCGCTCATTTCTTCGCATAAACGAAGACTTCAAGTCACAAAACGTTCCAACGTTAGAAGTAAAAAAGTTTTGGTGAGACAAATGAGCAACTACACTTTTTTTACGTTGATCTAGCTCTTACTTCAGAAAACAGTTTTCAGAATGTTAACATAAGAAAAGGCTACGGCCTACACCGAAAAATTTTATCACGCAATGGGCTATCGGAAATCGATTATAGAGAATTCTCTTTTTGCCAAAATAATACCAAAAACGGCGAGGACTGCCTATTATAGTGATGTACGGCCAGATGGGTTACGCCTGTGCATTTTGACTTACAAAGAATTGCGAAAAAAAATGGGCATTATCTTTTATCAGTTGCGTAGTATATAAACAGTGCCCGCATCAAAGACTGATCGTCTTTTCTTTCTTTCTACCATAACTGTGCAATAGAGACTCGGACAATTCGCCAAGAGTAAGTCCATGTCTCTTCTTAGTTTGTCTCGTTTGAGTTTTATTCTTTCCGTAAGTAAATCTGTCACTTAAACTGCACATCTATAGAAACGGCATTTTTATTGCGGCAATACACTGAAAAGCCATTGAGCAACACCATTTTGACCTAAAGCAATTGCAAGAGCAATTTAAAGTGGTTTCGCAATTCTATTCTGAACCATTTTCAACCTGAAACGTTCAGGTTCAGGTTGCAGTAAAAGATTGGCTAAGAAGTTCATTTATAAAAGCTCGACCTGAAGGTTTCTACAGAAAGACGTCTCAAGCACGCGTTTTTTTTAATCACTAATACAAGGTAAGTCGGCTGCGTAACGACTGATTCTAGGAAATATGTACCAGATCTCTGCAACTTAGAATAGAAATAAAGAATAACGAATACCGTAAAACGCTCCGAAAAGTAGAAGATTGATGATTGATTGATATGTGGCAGTTAACATCCCAAACCACCACATTATTATGAGAGACGCCGTAGTGGAGGGCTCCGGAAATTTCGACCACCTGGGGTTCTTTAGCGTGCACCCAAATCTGAGCACACGGGCCTACAACAGTTCCGCCTCCATCGGGAATGCAGCCGCCACAGCCGCGATTCGATCCCGCGACCTGCGCGTCAGCAGCCGAGTACATTAGCCACTGGACCACCGCGGCGGGGCAAAAGTGCCAGATTGATTAGATTATTTTCTTTCAAGGAAATTTTCGTTGGTATTTATGCTGCGTAACAAGGCAGAAACATGATGTTTCCTAAGACACTTCACTGAACGTGCTTACTTAATCGGCTACAATCCACCATCAGTGTTGTTTTTTAATTTTTGCTGCACTTCATTGTAGACTTTCAAAGTGTTTCTTATCAACAGGTTCACCACTGGAAGTTTTGAGTACAGGTTACGTCATGCCGTCGACATACCGGGCAAGGAGCTTTTTTGTGTGTGCAGCATCATCAGCTGACCTCACTCAAGTTTCCCGCGTGAGAAATTTAATCCTACGAACGCCGGGAATCCTTATCTTGCGAAAAAGAAAAAGAGATTATTCTGTGTAACTGAGCACAAGCAAGTGTGTTCGGGCAAAGTCTTTGCAATATAGATAGAGCTCCTCCTTTTTGATATTCAACACTTTTCGATACGAGGAAAACATACATGCTTTTAAAATGTATGTGTCTTTGATTGTAGCACAGATGATATCATGGCATTGCCTAACGTTACAGTAGCAGACTAACCATGCGCATCACTATCATTCATACAAATGCACGACCCCTCGGCCTTTGTACGTCGTCTTACCGGTGGTAGCAGAGGAACGACAGCAGAAAGAAGAGGCAGCAGAGCACTTCGGCACGGCCAACTATGCTGGACACCTGCGACAGGGTGACAGATATAAATAGGCCGATTGTACATAGCCCATCTGACTGTCCAAGAATCTCATTGTCACCATCAACCCCACTAGTTTGTGTTATAAATTATCGTCATTTTGACACTTGCCCTAAAAATAAGTTTCAACCTTAAGTGTGGCTTAGCGTGAAATGTAAATATTTTGTGTATCTGGCGTACAAACTGTTTCAACTGCATGACTTCGTAATACACTCAATAGGGCTGAAAGAGCGAGGCGGGATAATAGGTTAACGTTGCTTTGCCACCTGCACACACGCGGTCGTAGATTTCATTGATTCTGACTGATCTTTTAGAACGCCACAGAGATTGACTATCAGTTATCGTATTAAAAAGTAAATTTTTTGCATAGATTCACACGAGGCTTTGCTTACTCTCAAGACATCACTGCTCTATTCATTCATAATATTACTCTGCAGATCTGGCTTACAATTGATATTTTTTATACGATAATGGAAATGCGATATCAATATATGTTGGAGAAGAACACATAAGTAATTGAGTTGATACTGAAGTGTTTTTCCAGGGACTGGACATGTCGGTTTAGGTGTATAGTAGTAATATTGATGCTTTTAGAAAAATACGCGTGGCGCTGGCTAACTCTGCCATGTTTACACGCATATATATATATATATATATATATATATATATATATATATATATATATATATATATATATATATATATATATATATATATATATATATATATACACCTGTCGACGGCAGACTGACTGCCGCCATGGCTGAAGTGTTAATGCATATAGGGCGTGTTACCTAAAGGTTTCAACTTCGATTCGTATACCGACGGCAAATTGAGTCTTCATGCACGCCTATTTCTTTACATCGTTTCTGCCATAATTGCCACACCGAAGATGAAGACTACAAGTAATGTACCTTATGCGTTCTTTCGCTTCATCGTCTGCTCGTATTGCTAGGTTTTGTCCCACACAAAAAAAAACAGACCCTTTTAATTATCTTCATTATTTCGTGATTTACAATAATTCATTTTTGAGTCATCTACGATACGGCAAATCTCATATTTATTTTCTTTAAATATGAAGGTAATATGACAAACTGGTTGGCTGTTCTCGGACACAACTTTACTGGTGCAAGATTTGATGCAAGTACCTAGAGTGCATGCGATATTCGTAACGCGAATCAGGGCGTGCTCAAACTTTTCGAGTCTTAAACGTCACAGCGAACACTCACTGCCTCGGTGTGCACTGGATGAGCAGCGAACAGCATCGAGGACAGGCACGCATGGAGCGCAGTTATCCTCATCACACGGCGTGCGACGACGGCCACCAAAACTGAGCATGCGCAGTGCAGGGCAACGTTGACCACGTGGTAGCCACGCACTTGTCGCCCATGGACGTAGTAGTTGGCCCTGCGAGAGAAGACATCAATATGCACATCAGGAGATGCCCAGCCCTTTACAAAGGCCAGAACACGCTATCGCGTGGGCGCGTTCTGGCAGTGCTTGGGAAGCCGCACACTGGATTGAAGTCAGCCATAAGCTGCCTCACATGTTATTGTTTCCGGTGTAACGCTTCACTGATATATATTCGACCAACTGTGCGGCATAAGTCGAGACATTCAATTTGGCGATTCTGCAGATGATTCTTCAATGAAGCTTTTGATTGTTTTATTGAGAAGTTGTTAAGAGGTGGGTCTGCGGCATTGATGAGGATAGATATTTCAGAAAATAAATTCGGCAGATCCCCATACCTTGGGAATCGGTGTTATACGAAGCATGTGGAGGAAGGTGACCGTGTTATAAATTTTATATAGCGACACGACATTAAGTGTACAAATATACACGCTCAGACATCTCTTGAAGAGTTGCAGATGTTTACATAACGAGTCATTTGCACTTGCGCAACGATGCCAACAGGAACATAACTATCAGCAACACCGGAAGTGATAAGCTGATGTGAAGCGCTGGTGCTCGCGAGGATGGTAGACCTGGACGCTGCTACACAAATAAACTTCAGAGCACGGTACCCAACTACAATTGATGTTAACTAAACGTCCGGCTTTATCGTAGGTGTACTTATGTAATGCATCCAAAATTGAATAGCCAGCACGGCAACAAACAGTTCACGTTCCACGAACTTCTGTTTGAAAAATAGTTCCGAGACCTCGCGTGGCTCTGTGGTAAAATGCTGGATTGCAGAGCGAAATGCGTGGGTTCAATTCCTTCTGGGGCCCTGACATTTATTCTTTTCAAGAATACACGAGGTTGCGTAATCGCCTGCGTGCGAGGACTATTACGATACACCAACGTCAGTCATTAGAGTCGCCGCCCTTCTTTGTGAGCGAAAAATCAGCATTGTCCGTGACCAAAACCTCCATGTAGATCCATATAAAGAAGTAAAAAAAGATCTGTTCAAGTGCGACCAGGCTTTCGAACCTGCTATTCCTTTCCCCATGGCTCCATGCGTTCAGCCGCTTTAGCGTGGACACCAACTTGCTAACGGCCCTAAATGTACACCTTTGAGTTTTGGTGATGCTCGATTTTAGCGGCTTTACACCACCCGCGAGATGGCGCAAAGAACTGGTTTCAGCAATCGTGGTTTCAGTAGGTATAAGCCCAGCTATTATTATTAAGGGACAGGCACAACCTCCTGGAAACTGAAACGAATGCTCAGTGAGCAGGTAATGAATAGTGTCCGCTACAAAAAAAAAAAAGACCCCATCACTCTTACGTTACAGTTCACCCTTGCTCACTTTTGATACGTATGCGAGTTGTTTTGTTTTTTTTGGTAGCATTTCACGTTGCGTAACGCAAGTGATTAGGCTCTCTTTCTCCCTTTGAGGATTACTATGAATTCAAATCAAGTCTGCCGTATTTATTGAGCGCCGTTCTTCTATTGGAAAGGTGTCATTCGATCATGCGTTATCGGCAGAGACCAAACTCCACAAAATGTAACAGTATTAACGCAATAGCGTTAGAGAGCTCGTGTCGCAGAAATTCCGCTTTTGGCGTCGGCTCCGTTGGTTGTGAACGAAAAATCGTCCGTGAGCGCGAAATCGAGAAAAAAGTAAATATAGTAGAAATTTGAGTCCCATTGAGGATCGTACCCACGCTGTTCGCGTGGCAAGCAGACCACGAAAAAACGTTGGTTTTTGTAGCTTCTTTAACGCACTTTGTTCGACAGGTGTCATGACGAAAACGAGCCCTTTTGGCGATTTGTAGGCGCCTTTGGGAGGCCATCAAACTACGCCGAAAAAAGGTTGGATAGTGCAGACATCGCCGCTGAAAACACACGGGAACTTTTAAACAGCTCTAAAAATGGACAACTATGTTCATCTAGCGGAAAACATATCATGCCTTTCCAAAGACGTTGATCAAGCAAACAGCGAACACTAGATAATGATCTGCCGCCATCTGTGAGGCATTGTGAGACTCTCTATGGCAAGCGCGCGGCGTTTATCTTGGAGGCCATGCAACTTTTGCTTTAGATCAAAAACCTGTATGTATCATTCGCATGCGCGCGCTGGTACAATTTACTGTGTGTGTGTGTGTGTGTGTGTGTGTGTGCGTGCGTGCGTGCGTGTGTGTGTGTGTGTGTGTGCGTGTGTGTGTGTGTGTGTGCGCTCGCGCGCGCGCACACACACACACACACACACACACACACACATTAATAAGTGTGCACTTAGCGGTTGAAGGGCACACAAGGGGCCGGATTTCGCTATCACGTTCAATTCCCAGAGGCGAAGCTTAAGGGTCCCCCAATGTTTCTTTGCTGTTCTCTCTATGGAGTGCCCGTTCACCCTCGAAAAGACTGCAGCAGCAAGGAATCGGCATGTTTGGATGCTTCTCTGTTCAAAAGGATGCACTTAGAAAGTGCAAGCCGTGACTCACCAAGGGCGTCACTAAAAAAACAAAAAAAACACGGTTCTCGTGGATCATGCGGGTCGGTATCGCTTTTCCATTTTTGTTTTTCTTTTAGTGTGTATCAGCTTGTGCAGCACAAACTGTTACAGGGGACATGCATATATAAGTATATAGATGCATAACCTACTAGCTCCGCCGCAGTGGTCTAGTGGCTAAGGTACTCGGCTGCAACCCGCAGGTCGCGGGTTCAAGATCCCGGCTGCGGCGGCTGCATTTCCGATGAAGGCGGAGATGTCGTAGGCCCGTGTGCTCAGATTTGGGTGCACGTTAAAGAACCCCAGGTGGTTGAAATTTCCGGAGCCCTCCACTACGGCAGTCTCTCATAATCGTATCGGTGGTTTTGGGACGTTAAACCCCACAAATCAATCACTTCATGCATAATCTACTATTCCAAACAACAAGAAGGAACGTGCAACTCTTTTGTAGAGGAAGGAGCTATTTGTGTCGTATGGCACCCATTTCAGGGCTTTCTTCTGGGTGGTTACTGAACAATCAAGCGTGCACTTTAGCTCCTTGGGCTAAACCAAGTGGCCGTACTCGCCTTCAAAACAGGGCAACGTTGCCTTCTTTTTAAACAAAGCTCCAAGCGGCACCTGCCCTTTTCAATGCTGATGCAAAGAATGCGTTATGTACACGGAGTAAAAATATAGTTTTCTGTGCTCTGAGAAGTGTTGGCGATCAGGTGGAGCTGCAGGTACACATGTAATTGAGTCGTTCCTAAACACTAGCTCACGCACGAAATTAGTCCTTTTTTTTTCTTTCTGAACAACCCCTGAATATTCCACCAGAACTGGCTGCGAAATCGCAGTGTGCACGCATATGCAGTTGCATTTGGTTTTTAATACATTTGTATTAGGTCGAATTTTTTCTCCGTGGCTCGGCCACATTACCTATAAGTCTAATATAACAATGCGCAAATATTCTCTGTCATACGCACCCGAATTATTTTCCGCCACACGTCTCGGACAATTCACATCGCGGGACACTACTACAGACTACAGTAAAAACAAAAAAAATCTCTTTGTAAAAACACTCATCCTTGTTGTTTTAGTATAAACATCAACATAAGCCTTCGCTTCCTTTTGTGTGTAATTTAGATTGATTGATTGATTGATTGATATGTGGGGTTTAACGTCCCAAAACCACCGTATTATTATGAGAGACGCCGTAGTGAAGGGCTCCAGAAATTCTGACCACCTCGGGTTCTTTAACGTGCACCCAAATCTGAACACAGGGGCCTACAGCATTTTCGCCTCCATCGAAAATGCAGCCGCCGCAGCCGGGATTCAATGCCGCGACTTGCGGTGCAGCAGCTAGACCTTAGTCACTAGACCACCGCGGCGGGGCTGTATGAAATTTTGCGTCGTTCGGTAAACAGAGACAACAGGTTCAAAGTTATCTGCGAAAGTTGATGATTTCATTAGGGCTCCTTCAAAACATGACTCTAAGGTCATTACCCTCTATGTTTCTTTTCCTTGCTCTTTACTTGCTTCTAAATGATTTTTCATTATTACTTTTTGACATAATCTCTGCTTCCAAATATCGAAGCTGAAGCGGGCTTTTCGTGTCGTGCACATACTTGAACCTTTCGTGAGATAACAGTACCCTTGGCACTTTGAAAGCCCATATTGCGCTCCACCGAGTGGTGGTTGAGGGGAAAATAGAGAGTTGGAGCACCTCCCTGGAGGGTGTAGATACGAGCACCGAGGGCATAGTTTAATCCCTGCGGGCACTTGTCATGAACGGCATCGGGGTTCGTGTCAAAGGCCTTAACCTCCCAGCGTTTCAGAGGGCGTCCTTTCCCCCCTTTCATCCTCTACACTTCTCTTTGGAGCTGCGGGATGAAATCGGATTTCCCTCGTCGCTTCTTTCCATTACATTTTTCTCATTCTTTGCTGATAACGGGACACTAGGATCCGTTCGCTGGGATTTTCTTCATTACATACTATTTTAAGAGCATGAAGAAATAAAAGGGTCTTTTACACAGGGAACAACCACACTGCCGCCCACCAAGCAAGCCTCTATGTGGTATAAAGAACGGACGATAGGAATTCCACCTAAGACTTTCCGTTGTCGATTTCACAAAAAGAACGACTGTTGCGGGACAGCGAAACTCTCAGTTCTTCTGGAAGTGAACCGTAGAGTTATATTACACCGTGTGCCCCGATAATAACTATGTGTTGCGTTAATAATTGTGAAGAATGGCCTGCTGGGCAAGAAATAAGCACTGCAGGTGAAAAAAAGAACTATATACGGGCTGAAATAGGACTTGTAAATCTCTATTATGAAATTTGTGCAAGATTCTTAAAAAAATTCTGTAATATAAAAAAAATCAGGTGAATGCGACATTTGTTGTATACATGTACAAAGACTTTTTCTCTAGCTATAGGTATCCTAAAATCGTTACATACATCTTTTCCAAGAGTAATTAGGAGGTTAAGCTAATTTACGCTAATAATTAGTGGAGTTAAGCAGTCATAATTTTG